TGCCAACCTTGTCTTGCAATGGTCACTCACTTAGGTTTTCTCATAATTTCTCTGTCTGTTATTTATGCATTTTGTTTCCTTCCGGCTTCACTGCTCCCTACCACTGCTCTCAAAAAATGTACATACGTCTCTACCAATTATTTAAAAAATGCTTCATACATCTGACAAAGTGGATTCTAGTCCATGAAGGCTTATGTCTACCTTAGATTAGTCTAAGGTACTATAGCGCTCTTTGCTGTCCTTCTGGAACTGCCCTATTGTGATGGTCATCTGAAATTTTTATGAAACTTGTGTTAAAGTAGTATTAAAACAATTCACTCGCTTAATCAGGGGCACCTTTTTAAGGCGATTGTTCAGTTCCATTTCCAAAGTTTTAATCAAACGTTGCCTCCCTAGTGTTTTATATTGATAAATGACACATGTGGGGGGGGATGCCTATTAGGATGTGTGGGGTTTCTTGTCTGGAAGGAGGGCTTGCCAACCTGCCAGTGGGTGCTTGGCCACCCAGGTCTGGAGGTGCCCTTGTTGCGAGGATAGGGAACCTTGGGGCCGATGTGCCCCCTACAGCCTTCTCTGTGTGACCTTCAAGAGTCTCACTAGGCCACACCTTTCAGTCCTCCCTCATTCCTTCCTAAAGTACCTGATGGCGGATCTTGCCTGCCTGGGTGGAGGTAGCTATAGGTGTGTAGACACCACTCGCTTTCATGTGTCTGGAACGTAGCCTACTGTCACATCCATTAACATGCCTATTTGGGTTGCTGCTCCCACCCACCCCAAGGATTCAGCCCCAGAAGATTGTCCATTAGGAAATGACTCCCTTACCTTCCCGTAGGATTTAATGGCAACCACTTGCTTACATAGGAGAAAGCCAAAAGGTGCCCTGGGAGACATCTTTGTGGAGGGGCCTTGGTCCGATCCCTGCCCCTGCTCCCCTGCCTTCCATCGCTGAGGCTTTCTTCTACTCGAGAATTACCAGGACCCAAACCTTGGTATTTTCTAACTATATAGTGAGAGGGAGAAAACACAGTTCTCGAGAGAGGAAAGGCACCTCCCTCTTTCTTTCTCCCCCACCCCCAAATTCTCCAGGATACTCGCTGTAAGCTGTCAGGCCTTTGGCAGGTCAGTTGTCTTCCCTCTCCATCCTCAGTTTGTTATCAACGGACGCATGAACATTCCGCATACCAAGCTTCTCTCAGCCCTGGACTTCCTGGATAGACTTGCACAAGCTCTAGTCCGTCGTAGTTATGTGTAGGGTATACTGGTGTTGACGCTGGAGTGGGGCAGGTCTAAAAGCAGAAGAAGTCACCTGCAAGTGCCTATTTGCATGCAGAGACTCTGTATGATTGGGAAGCCTAGTTGCATGGAGCCCTTCTCTATGAGTTGGTGTCTGCACACAGCATGTTGTTGCAGAAGGACAACTCAGCCGGGGGTGAGGGGAGACCTGTGTGCATGAGTAACACCTGAAGAGGGCGTTTCTGGCTGAATTCTGGTTCCTTAGGCCAGGGCTTGGAAGCTTACACCCAGGGGCCAAATGTGAACTCTCTCTGAACTCTCCCCGGACCACAATCCTCACTGGCCATGCTGTGCCCCCCAAGTGCTTTTGCCTGGCTAGAATGTTGTTGCTGTGCCCACTTTGCCTCTGGTTCTGCCCACCAATTATATTTCTTCCTTAAACGGTGGCCCTCAGGCTGAAAAAGTCTCCCCATCTCTGCTTTAGGGGTGTGGGTGTAGGTGTAGAGTAGTGTTTCCCAAACTTAGGTCTCCAACTGTTTTTGAACTACAGTTCCCATGATCCCTGGCCACTGGTCCTGCTAACTAGGGATGATGGGAGTTGTAGTCCAAAAACAGCTGGAGAACCAAGTTTGGGAAACACTGATGTAGAGGCTCAACTGCCATAATGACCCTCTTAAGCTCACAGGTTCATGTTAGGTGGTTTGTGTTCTTTTCTTTTCCTTCCCCTAAAATGTCGTTTTGATCACAAACTTGCGTCTTCCTTTATCTATGGTTTTCCCCAAGTATGTGGACGCTGATGCCTTCTTTGTTGGTAGCCCTGTTTCTTTCCTAAACTGATAGACTCTCAGCCACCTGATTTTACTATGAGATTGAGAGAGCAATGATGCTACCTGAAAGCCCACCAGATTTGGGGCGGAGGAGAGGGTTGCAAGATCCAGTTCTTCTCCTGCCAACCCTGTTTGCTACCTCCAGTTCCCAGAAGTTGAAACCACCACTTGCTCCTACTGTTGCAGTTTGCATAAAAAACAAGGCATGCACTTATAGACTAAAGCAAAACAAAGTGTTTGGTCCATCCCTCCATTGCTGCAGTAGCAGTGCCAACACTGAAGTATGTACGGATGTGGAACTGGGAGCACCTTTTCTACCTCATCACAACCCTGTTTCTAATTTTCTGCTGATGGACGTTAAAATATATTGTTTTCCCTCTTCCTGCAGCCCAGAAGTGAGACCAGTCTGAGCTGTATGGATGAAGGGAAAGTTTTGCCCCCACTGTAATTCATTTCCCACGTATAGCTGTTTCCCCACAGGAATGTATAGCTGCCATTCATTTCCATAACATAAAGTATAGGGGTGAACTGGTACTACACCTGCCCTGCTGATCTCTCAATTAAGAAGCAAGTTTGCATCTAACTGCACAGTCCTATCCTAGTTTCTGTTTCTTGGCCAAATCACACCAGGTGCTATCACTGACATTTGTAAGCTGCTCTGGGGCCCTCTTTTTGACTGAAGAATGGGGTAAAATAACAGTTACCCCACCTGCCCTGCTGCCTTAGCTGAACACAGGTTTGGTCTCACCTGTCGGCTCAAACATACCGAGAATTTCCCAATGGAACCCAGAGTTCTGTCTCACACCATTCATTGCATTGAACAGAGAGCAACAGTTAGAAAATGAAGAACTCACAAGAATTATAAGGAACTTTCATTTCCTGGCTGGTTGCTCTCTACTGCAGTAGTAGACCACATGTTCTGTGGGGCATTTTGAGATGATCCTGCTGACCTCTCTTGGTGCAAAAGTGCCGAAAACTCTTTCTGGAACAATGAGCAAATTCTGAATAGTAGGCCTTCCTTTGACAGTCTATTACAGCTATACTATATGCACACAGTGGAGAGAAAGGAGGAAGCATTGGCTAGGTAGGTGTCACTAGGTTTGCACATATGCCATACCCAAATCAGCACTGAATAGCAGCATCTAGCCTAGGGTTGAGGAACCTTTGACTCTCCAGAGATTGCTGGTTCAACAGAGCCCATCATCTCTGACCATCCGCCAGTTGGGGTGGTGCTGATGGGAGTTGGAGTCCAGCAACGTCTAGAGGACCACAGGTTCCACAGCTCTGATATAGACTAAAGCATGTGCTGTGCTTATCCACGGCTTACAGCAGGTGTCTACTACCAGTAATGCTTCCCCTTTGCAGCACAGTTCCAAGAACAGCTGCATGGGGATGCAGAAGGACTTGAATTCGAATTTAGAAGCTGTTGAAGCAACCACCCACTAAGAGAATGTGAGAATCCACGAAAAATAGGTAAAGAGGAATAATGGCTCTCATGCTTCCTTGTTGATCTTCTCCAGGAGTTGCTCCACCCATAATCTGTTGTACATTTTGCATACCTTCTGTCACCCAGCGGCCATTACCTCCAGCCTTGCATGCAGTGCCTGAGAGTTCCCTAAATTTCTTTGGGACCTTCAGAATCAGACCCCCAACATGGATAAATTTCTGGCTATGTCTGGGGTTTTTGTGTTTGCTGAGACCCGGACTCTCACCTTTCAGAAGAGAGGGACAGCAGGCCCAGGAACTTTCTCTGCACATCCAAAGATGAGTCCACTATGTGCTCAGATGTGGGTCTGAGGTTACTTTGTATAGATGTGGGGAAACTGGTACATAGCACTTGGGTTTCCATGTAAAGTTACCCATGTGTTGGGCCAATTCTCTTATGTGTCAGTTGTGCATCAGTTGTGCATGGATCAGTCACCTGAGACCCTTCTTTGTGTGCCTCCTCCACACGAGGTCTGGAGGGTGTCAACATGAGAACTGGCCTTTTTTGAGGTAGCTCCCTCTTTGTGGAGTTCTCTCTCCAGGGAGGCTCCCCTGGCACCTTTGTAAGATACCTTTAGGCGCTAGGCAAAAACATCCCTCTTCCCCAGGCCTTTGGCTAATTAAACCATCTATGGCCTTTTCAGTGGCGTAGCGTGGGGGGTGCAGGGGGGGCCGGCCGCACCGGGCACAACATCTGGGGTTAGGGCAAATCCACAGGTTAGGGGGCGCAAATCCACGGGTTAGGGGGCGCAAATTACTTGCCTTGCCCCGGGTGCTGACAACCCATGCTACGCCACTGGGCCTTTTACAATGGGAGTATTGTTTTTGCTTGTTACTGTGGTGTGTATTTTTGTGTCTTCATATTGTAAACTGCTCAGGGATTCTTGGATGAAGGGCGGTATAGAATTTTCAAATATAATAATAAATAATGACTGACTTGCCCTGTCTGTAGTAATCACAGCAGCCACATACGGAAAAAGCTTTGATTGCTGCTCCTCTGAGAAGTGCAAACTGGCCATTTTGCACAAAATTCCCAGTAGATGTACACAGGATTTGGTGTCTTTATGTCCATACATTTGAATAAGCTCTGTGATACAAATCTGAATGATGCCAAGTAACTCTGCAGGCGTATTTTTGAACACGTGTCTTGCTGCTCTGCCATTAAGACTTTGTACACAGCCCTGCCCAGGTGTTTTGTCTATTGTACGCTACCCTGGAATCTGATTGAATAAAGTGTGACTTAGAAATGTAAATAAATCCTCCCCCTTTATTTTCAAAGAATTGTATGGGCAGTGGTGGTGATGGGGAGACACCCCAGAGTTGTGCAGCGGTGTTGGAAGAAAGGGGTTTAACCTTGGCTACATGGCTGATCTGCTGTAAGGAAAGGGCCGGGTGGTTTCTTCCTTGAACGTGACCCTCACTTGTGACTCCAGTTCCTTCTCTCTTGCCTGGCAGAAGGAGTTCCTGGGCTTCCATTCAGAGGATGACGCCTCTCAGAGCTCGCTGCGTGCTGCTCTACGTTTTAAAAGAGGTAAGGGTGCCATTGCGGGTGCCTCTTGGTGGTTTTCTGGCTAATCTGACCGTGGTCTGGAACATCTGCACACACATTTAAGTCCCAGCAATAGCAACATGGAAAAACAACACATAAAAAACCGATTAAGAAATTCTGTTGAACAGAAACAAGCATAGCCAAACTAATAATAATAATAGTAATAAAGCACAGCATTCTGTCAGAGGGCCAGACTACATGTTACATGTTAATAGCATGTTTAGATTATGTGCGACTCTCTTACAAAAAAAAAAGCAGGCACAGGGAGTCTAGATGTGGTGTTTTTTGTTACAACAAAGCTGTCCGAAGCAAGCAATTCATTATATTAATTAGTTGCCCTGCTTGTGTGTCTTGATCTTCAGCTCATGGAACACTGAGATCAACTTTATGTAGTGAAAATAGACAGCTACATCTACCAATGCCATAGTACAAGTGAGAAAATGAAACAGTTACAGTATAAAAGCAGCTTCCAAAATTTGAACTAAAACAACAGCAAAGGTAGCCTTTGGCTAATTAAGCCAACTATGGTCTTTTAAACTGGGTGGGTAATTTTTTTTTGTTACTATGTTATGCATTTTTGTGTTTTGATAACGTACACAGCCACCCTGTGATCCTTGGATGAAGGGTGGCATAGAAATTTAATATGCAATGAGAAGCCCGCCTCTTTTACCATCTTTTTGTCATGCCTACCAGCTCAGTTGCATGCCTACCAGATACGGAGTTTCACCTTTGTTCCTAGCAAATTGTGTCTTCTTGCTTTCTGTTGTTTCAAGGGCTCCCAAGCGATGGAAGAACGTTTAACTGGTTCATCAGCTGACTTACAAAGAGCTGATTGAGATTTTTAAAAAATGTGTATTATCCCAGCTTCCCTATAGGTGCATTCTGGGGAATACTGAAGAGAATCTGAGAGAACTGTTAGCTTCATTTATTTAACAAAATGTATTGACTGCTTGATTTTAAAAGAAAGAACTCTAAGCAATTTATATAAAATAGCATTTTCTTATTAATTGTTTATGTATATTGATCAATTCAACAAACTTTAAAAGCAAGTCAAAATGTGGATAAAATCAGCAGCTTAAGGAGAAGTAGACATAAAAAACACACAAATAAAAATTATGTATCTGGGTAGGCTTGCCTAAACAAAAGGGAGTTTTTAGTAGGCGCCATAAACAAGACAGTGACTGTCATATCAACAGGCAGGGAGCTCTGGAGCATAGGTGCTGAAAAGCCTTGACTCCTCAAAAGTGGGGAATACATGTTACTAATCATTGGTCGAAGAAAATGCCTTCTTCAGTGTCCTGCTATGTTTTCCTGCTAGTAAGGAATTATGGGTGCTGCCTGTCTCGGTGCACATGCTGTCAGTGGTGCCACATGTGCTCACCTGGAAGCAGTTGTTTGCTTACTGTAAGTGACCACTCCAAGTGTTTAACTGTTTCAACAAAACTGTCTGCAAGTTGAAGTATTGAGCAACCTTCTGCTCTCTTGAGGAGCACTTCCCAGCATGTTATATCCAGGGCCTGGTGCTGTACACACTGCCCTTGTAGGTTGGAAACTCCAGAGGTATTTTGACAGCCAAGGTTTCCTTCTCTCCTTACAGGCGCAGTGCTGCCGGCACGTGGTCGGAAAAAAAGGGGGCTTGCTGAGGACACCCTTTCCAAGCGGCTGTCGAAGCAGAGAGCTGTGGAATCCCAGAGGGAGCGGATGGTGAAGGCTTTGGCTGAGCTGCTTCAGAGCAACAAGGGGTCTCCAGCAAGGACAGATCGGCTGTCGGCTTCCAGCCCCCAAGCTGGCGGCATGCTTCCTGAGCAGCCTGAAGCAGACCCAGAGCCTGGTGACCCCACAAAACCCTCCGTCTCCCCTGCCCTCCCGTCCCAAATGGAGAAGGACCTCAACTCTGTTGTGTCGCCCAGGCCGCGAGGCCGGCCACGGGGCTCTTTCACAAAGAGGCTCGTTGCGAGACCCAAGCCTCCTTGTCACAGCACGAAAGCTCCAGATTCCACCCTGGAACCCAGCAGCAGCAGCAGCCCTCGGTCACCCTCGCCGTGCCAGGCGGCCAGCCCCTCCCCTCCGCCCCAGGAGCCCCCGAAGAAGCCGCCACTCATCCTGAAGTTCTTCTCAAAGGCCAAGCGGCACAAGTCCGGCCAGCTGGTGGTGACCCACGTCCGGCTAAAAACTCCCGGGCACAGGAGGGGCCGCAAGAGGAAGTGGAGCGTTGTGCCGAGGAAGGGAATCTCCCCACTTCCTTCCCGGTCTGTATCGGAGTCAGAGGCACCTTTGTCAGAGTCAGACGGGTCTGCCCCAGAGCCGGAACAGAAAAAGGAGTCTTCTACTCCAGAATCTCAGGCAGAAGTCCTTTCCCCAGAGCCAGAGCCAGAGCCAGAGCCCCAGCCAGAACTTGCTGCCCCAGAGCCACAACTGGAGGTGATTGCCCAAGAATCTGAGCAACTGTCAGAGGCTCCTGTCCTGGAGCTGGAGGCTTCTGAGCCAGAACCAGAAGCTCCAGCACCAGGAGGTGGCGTTCCTGCTTCGCCCAGTGAGATAGCTGGCCAACAAGAGCACCAGCAGCCCTGCCCGCAGAGTGATGGGTCAGGAGTTGTTTCCGAGGAGGGGACTTCCAGCATTGCCCTTTCCACGCGGGCGCAATGTTTGAAAAGGGGTCGCGGGCGTCCTCCCCTGACCGCTACGCAGCGGGCCCAGCGTTTGGCTTCTCAGCACCTGCCGGCCAAAGCCAGGGAGGAGGCTCTAGCAGCTGCACAGCAGCCTGGCGGGCCTGGCTTCGAAGAGGCGCCAGGTCACAAGGCCAACTTCCTGAAGAATATCCGCCAGTTCATCATGCCCGTGGTGAGCGCCCGCTCGTCGCGCCTCATCCGGACCCCCCGCCGCTTTATGGACGAGGTTCCGCAGAAGGCAGCCAAGCCCATGGAAAGCGCTGCAGCGGATGGGGCTTGTGCAGACAAGCAGGAGACTCCCATGCTGCCGTTGCTGGAGACTCCCCTTCAGCTGACTCCCCCAGCCCCTAGCTCCCCGGATAAAGATACCTCTCGGGCCCTGTCGCCCCCGCCTTCCCCCAATGTGCCCCTCCTAACTTCCTCCATTCCCGCCCTACCTGAGAAGCGCCGTTCCATCCTTCGGGAGCCCACTTTCAGGTGGACCTCGCTGAGCCCCCCGTCGCCCCCCAAGGATACGGGCAAGGCGCTCTTCCATCTTCCTTGTGAAGATTTGTCTCCTTTGCTCAGCACTCCAGCGCCAACCCCATCTCCCCCGGCCAAGCGGACCCCGCTGCTGCGAGCCCCGCAGTTCACACCCAGCGAGGCACACCTTAAGATCTACGAATCTCTGACGGTGTCTCCTGAGGAATCTGACCTAGTGCCTGCGTCCCCCGAGCTCAGGAGGGACCTCCCCGCACTGCAGCAAGAGGGTCTCCTGCTCCCTTACGAGCCAGTGGTGACCCGCAGTGGCAAGAAGCTGTTGGGAAGGACGAACCACCTTGCCCTGCCCCTCTTCCCAGAGGTTTCTAGGCCACTTGGGGCTCAGGGCAAAGAGCTGATCACCATGGAGGATGTCAATTCTCCTGGCGTAGTTCACAAGGTGGCCATCCGGAGGATTCTGCCTCCGTCAGCCCAAGTGGAAGAGGAGGAGGAGGAGGAGGAGGTGGCAGCTGAGAGTTCAGAGAGTGAGGGAGAGCCAGCTAGCCTGCGCTCGGAGGCACTGAAGCCCCCTCCAGAGGAGCCCAAGCCCCTTATTACCCAGCTGTCAAGCATGGATAAGGTATACAGCTTGCTCACTCGTGCCAAGGTGCAGCTGTACAAGATCGATCAGCAGAAGCACTTCAAAATGACGCCGGTAAGAGAAGCCTCAGGGGTGGGAGTGGCAAGGCTTTGGCGCGATAGGCAAGGCTGTGCATTTGTAGAAGGAAATGCTGGTGGTCTTTGGGGCCTCGGTTAATGATTTTGCTTCATCTGTTTTGTTTTTAAGCTCCGTGCCCCACTGTGGTACTGTGTACTGTTCATCAAGAGACGTTGTGGGTAAAGTTAACGTTAACCCTGTATAAGGGTCCACATAGGTCATTTTTTCCATTAAAACAGAGATGGGGTACTTAGAATCATAGAATTGGAAGGGACCCAGAGGATCCTCTAGTCCAACCCCCTGAAATGCAGGAATATGGAGCTGTCCCATACTGGGATTGAGCCTGCAACCTAGGCATCATCAGCACCATGCTCTAACCAACTGCGTTATTGAATTCCCATCAGCTGCATGCAGCATGGCCAGCGGTCACGACATTGGAAGGACCACAGGTTCTCTATCCCTGCATTGAAATTAGACCACTTCAAAAAGAAGTTGTGATAATTGGGCCAGCCAAATAAGGCTGTGACCTAAGAATCTTTCTGGATGAGACCAAAGGGTCATCCAGTCCAACATTCTGTTCTCACAATGGCCAAGCGGGACCTGAGAGCAACACCAGGTCCCATTTACACTTTCCAGGAACAGGTAGGTTCAGAGGAATACAGCCTCTGATCCTGGAGACAGGGCACAACCATTGTAGTTGGTAGCCATTGGTAGACCTGTCCTTCACCAAGTTGTCATCCAAACTGGGCCATGACCAGTGTTAGAAACTGAGATATGAAAGCTAGGAGCTAAATGGCACCTTAAACCTAGGTTAAGGGTGCAACAACGGAATGTCTAGGTGCGCTTTTTATAACAGGAATACAAAGCTGAAAATGAATGAACTGCAGCTAAAATGTTATGTTCATTTTTCACATGGCCTAGTCCTTCCCCTGCCCACCCCTCTAATATTCTTAAGAGGGTCTCTTCTCCAGCCTTCAGAGAGTGGCTGGAAGTGGGGAGGCAGAAAAGGGTCCTCCTTTCCTTCCACTCTGCAGTTTTAATCTGAAATCTTAGGCGCAGTACTGTGCCCAGAACTCAAAAACCACTTGCACTGATGAAATTCCCTGTCGCAAAATGCGCCTAGAACAATGGGAGTTTTGAGCACTGGCTATGACTACATCTTGGGGCAGGAGATTCCATAGTTTAACTATGCTCTGTGTGAAGAAGCATGTCCTTTTTTCCTATCTGGAATCTTCCAACGTTCTGCTTCCTTGAATGACGATGGATTCCAGTATTATGAGGGAAGGAGAAAAACTTGCCTTTTCTAAACTAAAAGTCCCAAATATTGTAACCTTTCCTCATAGGTATAGTTGATGCATTTCCCAGAACTGGTTTGAGGGCCAGAGTGTGATGGTGCCTTCACCTGGCGGTATATCGTGGGTGAAACCGCCATCACTCCTGAGTTACACTGCCACCAGCGCCCAGAAGGAGGAACAAGCTGCATTTGGCTGGGGGCGCATGAGACCCCAGGGTGAAACTGCTGGCATTCCTGCTGAGGCGGCTTCACCCCAGTGCATCGTGGAGCCCCACCCAATGCAACTTGTTCCTCCCTCTGCTTTTCAACATCCTGATGTATCACAATATTGCGGTGTTAGACGGGTGATAAATTGCAACATTGAAAAGCTGATATCACCCAGCCCTTCTCATAGGCGAGTTGCTCCAACCTTGGGATCATTTTGATTTAACTTTTCCGTGCCCTACGATATCCTTTTTGAGGTGTGGTAACTGGAACCATACGCAGTAATCCTGAGTGCAGGCACACTATATAGATTTGTATGACGGCATTATTACATTGGCAGTTTTATTTTCAGTCCCTTTCCCTAACATGGAATTTGCCTTTTCCACACTGCTGGACGTTGGGACTGCATTTGCATCGAGCTATTCACCATGGCCCCAGTAACCCTTTTCCTGTTACTCACGGCCGGTTCAGAACCCCTTAACCATATATGTGATTTTTTGTACCCAAGTGTGTGCTACTTTGCCCTTCTTTCATTGAATCGCATTTGCCATCTTAATGCCCATTCGTCTAGCTTGGGTGCATCCTTTGGTCCCTTACCACTCTGCACACTTGGGTGTCATCAGAGAACTTGGCCACCTCGTTGCTCATCCCTAAATGCAGGTGATTTATAAGCAAGCAAAAATATTGATCCTTGGGGGTATCCGCTTCTTACATCCCTCCGTTGCGAGAACTTCCCTTTTATTTCTACTCTCTGCTCTGCCACCAAGCTTTGGCCCTTCCCCCAGACAAAAAAAGACGTGCGCAGCAGTTCTAAGAAAGACATGCCATGGCCACATCCAGGGCAATGTGCTAAAGTAATCAAAAGTCCTTTGCAAGGAAAATGGTGACCTGTTTAGATTATGCAGATTAAGCAGATCTACTTGTTTTGCATAACTTCACTTCCGCTTGTCAGGGCTGGAAGCCAGGCAGGGTACTGAAGGCCAGCCCCTGGCCATGGCAAAATCTATATCTCTTTCCCACCATCAATTGATCGTTTTATGTGTATGTCGCTTTCCCAAAGTTAAAACAGTGCTCGAGGCGGCTTGCAACATGAAAACATTTCATAACTACAAATATAACAGAAGTCATAAACAATTAATGGAACATCAAAAAGTACACATTGAACAATTTCCATGTAAATCATAAGAAGATCTGAAATAAAGAAACGAAAAATTAGTATCAATGACCGCAGCAAACCTCCCTTCCCCACGAAACCTGCTAAATAATACTCCAGCCAAAGAGTCTGTTCAGCAGCCTCAGCTTTTGTAATTGGAGTCAGTCAGGGCCCCGCCTTCCCAGGGCAGGTGGGAAAAGGCCTGTAAGGTAGGGAGCATGTCTTCCAAAACTCGCAGCTGAAATGGTCTCCACAAACACACACACACACACACACCTGAGATCTGATCAGGCATTGACCACACACCTTCAAGCCTCTGATTGTAATCTTAGGAATGTAACATTAGCTTTTAAAAGTCTGAAAGCAGAGAGTTTCTGGATGCTGAATTCTGCATTGTAGATTATGCTCTGTGCTTGACTCTTACTTGGGAATACCTTTTCTACTTAAACCTGTGTCTAAAGAGTCTGGAGTTGTGTTTAAATAAGCTAAACCTCATATTCTTTGAACAACCAGAATTTCTAGGTACCGTATTTTTCGCACGATTGGACGCACCGGACCATAGGACGCACCTAGTTTTTTGGGGGGGAAATAAAGGAAAAAAATTTCCCCTTTATTTCCCCCCCAAAAGCAGGTCAGGGAAACCGAACCAGGTCAAGGAACAGCGGGATAGTGGCGCTGCGCCTCCCTGCTGTCCCCCGAGCTTGTGGGGCTGGCTGATGTCTGCCTAGCGCGCGGGGCGCTCTGCTTCAGGGTGCCCCACCCGCCGGGCGGCAGGCTACTATCCGCAGCGTGGGGAGCCCTGCGGGGAACTCCTGCAAGGCTCCCCACTCTGCGGATGTCTGCCTGGCGCGAGGGGCGCTCTGCTTCAGGGCGCCCCACCCGCCAGGCAGCAGGCTGCTATCCGCCATGTGGGGAGCCCTGTGGGGAATTCCTGCAAGGCTCCCCACGCTGCGGATGTATTCCCGAAGCGCCTGGAGCTCTGCTTTCAGGGCGCCCGACGCTCCGGGAAGCAGGCTGCTATCCGCAGCCTAGACACGGCTAGCGGAGCGCTAATCCCGAAGCTTGGGGCGTGCGGAGCTCAGCGCGCCCCAAGCTTCTGGGTGCTGGCAAGGTCTCCGCTAGCCCTTGCTGGTGCCCAGAAGCTTGGGGCGCGCTCAGCTCCGCACGCCCCAAGCTTCGGGATTAGCGCGGCGCTTCGCTAGCCCTGGGAGAGCCCCGCAACGTTGCGGGGCTCTCCCAGGGCTAGCGAGACCTTGCCTGCACCCAGAAGCTTGGGGCGCGCTGAGCTCCGCACGCCCCAAGCTTCGGGATTAGCGCGGCGCTTCGCTAGCCCTGGGAGAGCCCCGCGACGTCGCGGGGCTCTCCCAGGGCTAGCGAGACCTTGCTGGCACCCAGAAGCTTGGGGCGCGCTGAGCTCCGCATGCCCCAAGCTTCGGGATTAGCGCGGCGCTTCGCTAGCCCTGGGAGAGCCCCGCAACGTCGCGGGGCTCTCCCAGGGCTAGCGAGACCTTGCCGGCACCCAGAAGCTTGGGGCGCGCTGTGCTCCGCACGCCCCAAGCTTCTGGATTAGCGCAGCGGTCCGCTAGCCGTGGGAGAGCCGTGCGACGTCGCGGGGCTCTCCCAGGGCTAGCGGAGACCTTGCCGGCACCCAGAAGCTTGGGGCGCGCTGAGCTCCGCACGCCCCAAGCTTCGGGATTAATGCAGCGCTCTGCTAGCCGTGGGAGAGCTGGGTCTCCCACGGCTAGCGGATAGCTTCCTGAAGCCTGGAGAGCGAGAGGGATCGGTGCGCACCGACCCCTCTCACTCTCCAGGCTTCAGCGAAAGCCTGCATTCGCTCCATAGGACGCACACACATTTTCCCTTGCTTTTTAGGAGGGAAAAAGTGCGTCCTATGGTGCGAAAAATACGGTAAGTGAAATTCTCCATTTTGCATTCAGAAAGCACTCTTTGATTTTATTACATTAACATAAAGAGCAAGCGTGCATAAATGCACGTGCTTCCATTCTGAAAGCTTTGTTTCTGGTTGTATAATTAATGTTTGGGGTCCCCCACTCCCATAGTTTTGATTTTTGTGTGTGTCTTGATGTGGGTTGGGGAAGAAAAGCCAAGAATCCGGAAATAGATCAAGAATGCATTGCAGAAGGTTGGACTAGATGACCCTCAGGAGTTCCTTCCAACTCTACAAATATGTAAGTGTGGGAATGAAGGAGGGAGGGAGAGAGGCTGAGGCTGAAGGTGGTGATTGGGGTACAGTAGCTATACTGAGAGTAGAAGTCACACAGCTCCCACTGAAGCACCTCTTGTTTTCACGAGTCCCACGCAAATGGCCTTCACTTTTAGGGAGCCAAGATTGTGGGTTTCCAGTGTCATCTTCGTTTTGCTTTTTAAAGAGAGTCTGAATTTTTAGTACCAGCCATTGGACTGTTTGGAGGGTATGTCTAGTGCTTTGCAATGCAGTTAGCCAACATGGTGCCCTCCAGAAGTTGTGGACTATTTTCTCACAGCATCCCTGACCATTGACCATGCTGGCTGGGGCTGATGGGAGTTGGAGTCTCAGCAATATCTGGACAGCACCATACATATAGGCATGTTCTGTGTTTGTGCAACTGGCATCACAGATCAGTTTCCACAAACACATTCGCAGGCTGAGAGCTGCCGTTATGATGGGGAGAGGCCAGTGTTGCTTGGGACATTTGGTATATGCAAAAAGAGTCTCAAATGCTAACTAACTAATTAACTAACTACCTTTCATCTGTGTGTCTCTTCTCTATAGGGGTGTCAAACAGTCAATACTGAGCTCTTTGAGACTCCAAAGGTCCCCGTTAAGCAGGAGGTGACTACTGAACTCAAAGTGGCAGAAGAGGACAGGAAAGAGGACAGGAAGCAGGTAACTATTTGCATGTATATACAGTGGTGTAGCTGAACTCCGGTTAGTGATGATGATTCTGGTTTCCAGAGCAATGGATCCTATGTAGACACTGGTATCCTCTGTGCAGATTGCCTTTCTTGGCCTGGCCTGCCAGTGGCTTTTAGCAGTGCAGTCCTTCTCTGTACTCCTGGCAAGCGCCGGGTGGTACAGGTTCACTGAGAACTGGGGGGTGGTTTTTCAGGGCCGGCCCTGCTGTTTACCATTCATGCCCATGGCCGATCCTAATTCTCTTCCCTTGCAGGGCCAAGAGTCCCCCGTGCAGGGCCCTCGGATCAAGCACGTGTGTCGGCATGCCTCAGTGGCCCTGGGGCAGTCTCGTGCCATGGTGCCAGAGGATGTGCCGCGCCTCAGTGCCCTGCCGCTGCGGGAGAGGGAGGAGATCGCTGCATCGCCCACAGTAGAGGGTGAGTGGTTGTGTGGGGATGCCAGCTTGAAGCATTCTTTCCTTTACGCTCCGTGGCTGCTTTTTAAAGGGTGAGCATGATAACTTGAGGAGCGTTGAGCTGCAAGATCACAGGGCTATTAATGGGCGCACTAATATGTGGCACCTCCTTCTGTAGCTATGTGGCAAAGATGTTTATTGATCCTCGGTGGGATAATCAGGGGAGTGATAAGGAAGACTGGAAAACCAGTGTTAGCTCTGCACAGATCCTGGAGAGCACTGCCATCATGCCACATTCAGGGGACACTGGTTTTGGCTAGGACTGATGGTAGAGCTGGGCAATATATCACTATATCGTCCAAAACCGGTTTGAATTCCATATCGTTCTATCGCTTTCATAATTTTTCACCTGGCAATATATTGCAAATCATGATGTGTGTTAGGGCAGTGTGATATAGCATCCAAAACCAGTTCAAAGTCCGTATTGTGATGCCAGTTTCATAATTTTTGACCTGGCAATATTTCACGACTTATGATGTATATGTGTCTGTGCTATGCAAAAATCACAATGTGAAAAAAAAAAGTGAAGCCAAGCCTACATAGCCCCATCCTTATTTCAGACATCATGGTATATCAGTATATCACAATGTTTAGCTGGTGATATACAGTGGTGCCTCGCAAGACGAAATTAATCCGTTCCGCAAGACGAAATTAATCAGTTTTTTCGTTTTGCGAAGCACGGCTATTAGCGGCTATTAGCGGCTTAGCGGCTTTAAGAAAAAGGAAACAAACTCACAAGAACTCGCAAGACGTTTCGTCTGGCGAAGCAAGCCCATAGGGAAATTCGTCTTGCGGAACGACTCAAAAAACGGAAAACTCTTTCGTCTAGCGAGTTTTTCGTCTTGCGAGGCATTCGTCTTGCGGGGCACCACTGTACCACAATGTTGAAAACCAGATACAGTTGTAGCTTGGATCCCGAACGACTTCCGACTTAAACGTTTTGGCTCCCGGAAGTGAGTGTTCCAGTTTGCGAACATTCTTTGGAAGCCGAACGTCTGGCATGGCTCCCGCAGCTTCCGATTGGGTGCATGAAGCCCCTGCAGCCAATTTGAAGCCGTGCCTTGGTTGTCGAACGTTTTCAGAAGTTGAACGGACTTCCGGAACGGATTCTGTTCGACAACCAAGGTACGATTGTATTGTCCAGGCCCAGTTGATGGAGGTGAGGGGCAGGGCCTCCTCCAACAGAAGCCCCATGGGAGGGCACTTTCGTCTGAACAGTTCCTCACTCCAAACCTCATTGCTCAAACTCCAACTTTCTTCAGGCCTCAGAGGTTGGTGCAAAGGCCCCTGGGATTGCTGGGTGCTGTTTCCGTGCCTTTTTTGCCCCTTCTGGGCTCTTTTAGACCCGTTGTGTCATTTTTAAATTCACTTCCGCACATTTGTGCAGTTAGGCATCAATCAGACGCACATAAACAAGGAGTTGCCTATACTTTCTTTGGGAGGAGCAGTTCCATACTTAAGCCTTTAGTTTCAAAGTGAAAATGCAGGAGCCTTTATACGGGCTGAGTTCCCTTCTTGCCAATAGCACACAGTATTACCTAATTAAAAGTCCGACTCTTTGGAAAGCTGTTCGCCAGTGGAACGGTCTCCTTTGGGAGATTGTGGACTCTCCTTCCTTGGAGGTTTCTAAGCAGAGGCTGGATGGCCACCTGTCATGGATGCTTTAGCTGAGTTGGGGGTTGGACTAGATGACCCCAGAGGTCCCTGCCAACTCAACAGTCCTATGATTCTCAGACCTAATAAGTGAATCAGATCCCTTTTGTCGCCTGGTCCTTTTTACATTGGCTGCACCGAGCTTTCCTTGCGCCCATAGAAATATTTGGGTGACATACAGAGATGCTCTCGGGGGCCTCAAGATGGAGCTGCATTCCGGTCATCTTTTTGACCTTTCCCTTCCGCAGAGACCTCTTCAGCCTCAGAGAGCGAAAGCGGCCACCAGAAGCAAGTGAAGGCAGATACCGCCGTCAAGGCCGCGCCACCCCCTGTACGGCGACACGTCTCCCACCATCACCACCACCACCACCACGGCAAGAAGAACAGAATGACGCGCTGCGGGAAGTGCAAAGGCTGCCTGAAGCTGCAGGACTGTGGGGAGTGCATCAACTGCCTAGACAAGCCGAAGTTTGGCGGGCCAAACACCAAGAAGCAGTGCTGCGTGTGAGTATGTCCTGGGGGGTTCCCAGTTCTTTGCTGAATTTTGCCCTCCGGCTTCTCTCTTCTGTGCTGCTTGGGAACTGGGAGCTATGACCGAAGAGTTCTCTGCCCAGCCAAGAAAATAGGTGACGTCCAGTGGTTTTGTGGCTGAGGTTAGGTAGATGCTGGAGTTGCGCAGCTCCCGTGCAGAGCTTGGTTTTGGCTGCAGAATCTTGCCTGCTCAATGCCTTGGCAGCCACTACTTGCAGAACAAGTTCCCGGGCCTTAAGGCAGGGAAGATAGGCCTGTAAGTGTGTAGACGTTTGCCCCATTTCGACAATGGAGATTTGCATACTACAGCAGCTTGTCTCTTGTTGGATTGGGGAGCACAGGTGCATATTTGCCCAACCACGTGCCAATTCCAGTGAAGTCTGGAAGTGGTTGGGTGGTTTGCTTATTTAGCAGACTTACATCCCGCTTTATAGGAGTTGTAAAAGCAGCTTACGCAGGATTCTTAAAATAAAATGGTGCCCAAATCGAGTGGAAGAACAGAAATAAAATGGTGGTGCCCATCTGGAATCAGGATTATTTGGGCAGTGTTTCCTGCCCTCATCCTTATTCTTCCCTTGCACTATATTTGGTAGCGGCTCCCATTCATTTCTCTTGAAATTCCATTAGGGAATGGAGTCCTCAGCCTGAAAAAGGTTCCTCACACCTCACCTGCTAATCATGGTGAACTCAACAGCTTCACCTTCTTGCATGCAAGTAGTTCTGGCAAAGGTGAGCTGTTTGGTTTAATCTCGAGTTGAGGTATCTAAACAGCAGTGGTAGAAAGCAGGGACTAGCACCTTTTTTTGGGGGGGGAACATGGGGATGTGCCACATAGCCTCGGGAAGCTGCATCCCCCTCTCTTAGCTTGAGTCATCCTCAGAAGGGTGGACAGGTGTCAAGGAGGATGGGACTCCTGTGTTTTTAATAGCTATGCAGAAGAGGTTTCTGAGCCGAGGCAGTTCTGTCGTGCAAGAAGGTGAGAGGATGGCTATCTGTTATACGGGCAGTAGGCTCCCCCAGGAACCTATTTATAGAGCACGCGTCCTGATTTGCTTGTGGGGAGGTTATATGACAATGAGCAACCATCCTGATGCGCTTGTGGAGTGGTTTACGCATCTTATTCCATGATGCATTTTCCCATCCCTCCCACAAAATATTAGTAAATCTGGAGGCGCCTACTGTTTCCCATAGCTGCAGAGATTAGAAGCATGTTATTTTAAAACAAGGGACGCGGGTGGCGCTGTGGGTAAAAGCCTCAGCGCCTAGGGCTTGCCGATCGAAAGTTCGGCGGTTTGAATCTCCGCGGCGGGGTGCGCTCCTGTTGCTCGGTCCCAGCGCCTGCCAACCTAGCAGTTCGAAAGCACTCCTGGGTGCAAGTAGATAAATAGGGACCGCTTACTGGCGGGAAGGTAAACGGCGTTTCCGTGTGCTGCGCTGGCTCGCCAGGTGCAGCTTCATCATGCTGGCCACGTGACCCAGAAGTGTCTCCGGACAGCGCTGGCCCTCGGCCTCTTGAGTGAGATGGGCGCACAACCCTAGAGTCTGTCAAGACTGGCCCGTATGGGCAGGGGTACCTTTACCTTTACCTTATTTTAAAACAAGGACCTGAGTTACTATGGGCTACACTATGCATTTGTACATGTTATTGCTTTGTTGTTTTGCTTTACTTGTTTGTATCCTGCATTTTATTCTGGGAACTGCCCTGAGATCTTATGATGAAGGGCGGTATAATAATAATAATAATAATAATAATAATAATAATAATAATAATAATAATAATACAACCTCAGTCCTGTGGAAAGCTCTTCCAGCAGAGATTCACCAGGCACCTTCTGTTTTAACCTTCAGGCATTAGCTTAAACTTCTCCTTGCTACTAGGCTTATGCAGACAATTAAGAATACATCTTCTGTAATTGATAGATGATAAACTGTGTGCGTTGGGGGGAGTTAATTTAAAAAGCCACATGTATTTTATTATATATGCTGTAAACTGCTTTGATATTTTCAATGAAATTGCAGCATACAATTCTTACAAACAAATGAATGCCACTGGCAAGAAAAGAGCCTTTCCTTTCTCAGATGGGGCTTTCTTCCCCACTGAGGAGTATTTGGCCAGCTGTCCATCACTGCCGGTGTCTAGCTCCACAGTCTTCTATCTGCTTTGAGCAAGACCACGTACTGTGGGCCTGACCCTTTGCTGCCTTGGTGGGAGGGTGGGGGCCAGAGCTCCTTCGGCTCCTCCTGCGCTGGTGGACCGGATATGAGTTTCTTTGTGGCTGATTTCTTTGCTCTGACCATGTCATGTCTGGCTAACTGGCAGGTATCGGAAGTGCGACAAGATCGAGGCGCGGCGGGTGGAGCGGCTCTCTAAGAAAGGTAACGATTGAGTGGCTGTACATGGGTGGACTGATCATGTGCTGCTGTGAGTTGGCTGTGTGGTTATGTGTGGCCTCTTCCTTGGTGTCGTTACGATACAATATGATATCTTTATTGTCATTGTCCCATACAGAACAATGAAATTGAAAAATTTACATAAGACATTCAAAAACCCCTAAAAACTCTGAAACCCCATTTTAAAATACAATATACTATAGAGACGCCTTATGCTGCGTTTAGAACCATTTGCGTAGAAACTGTTTCTCAGGCGGCTAGTCATGGTCTTTATAACCCTATACCTTCTTCCAGAAGGCAGAAGCTGAAAGAGATCATTTCCGGGGTGCGTACTATCCTGCGTACTGCAATCTTCTGGTCCAAGGGCTCTGTGAACATATTTCTACCTGCGTGTAAACCTTTTGGGTCCAGTCCCACATATACAGTGGAGTAGGGGTTGGGTGCAGGAGTTCTGTACTGAATACCCAGCCGTGAAATGCAATAAGCACTGGTTTCTACATCATGATGGAATGGATGATGACATTCAGCACTTAAAAGACATATTCTTGTTCTAACAGGCTTTTGATGTTTAGTGGTCCGTCACTTATAAAGTTTTGTGTTAGTCCGGGCTGCTGTTTTCATTGTCGTTATCTGTGCATTTTGAAACTGTGTGTTTTGATATATCTTTAACTGTTTTTATCGATATGACCAGCTATGTTTGTTTTATCTTCCTGTAAGCCGCTTTGGGCAAAACCTTTCTGTGGGAAAGTGGGGTGTGTGTGCAAATGGACTTAATTCTTCTGCTACTACTTACTTATTGTCCTTCGCATTGTGTATTGGTGGGTTATATTTTGCAAATTCACATATTAAATTGTTACACGTTGTTAAACAAGCTCTGTTTTGTGAAGAAGTTGAAATTTGGTGTCTAAGCCTCTTTCAGAGACTGGGAAGAAAGGTTGAAGCTCGTGGATATTGGGTGGGGAGAGAGAGAAAAAGAACGGGGTGTTTAGTGCCAGTCTTGCGTTTAATGACTCTCCTGGTAGCCCCAGACTGCCAGAGAAGGGGCAGATCTCTCTGTCCCTCCACCATCAGGGCACTTGGCAGAAGGAAATATTTTTAGTAGCCTGCTAAGAGTCTAGTGGGCTGCATTTACTTCTGTGCTGGCTGTAGAGAGGAGTCTTTCCCCTCTTCTCCACAGCTAGCATACAACTAAAGGTTGGTAGTAAAAAGAAATCGTAGGCTAGTGACATCTGTAGGCTTCTTTACAAGTCCAATTCACAAGCCATGGTAACTGCGCTGAAGGGAAGAGTCCTTCTCCCACAGATGTAAGATACTCTGCCTGCTTCCAGGGGATTTGGGGCATTCCCTTTAAAAAATGGTTTTTATGCATCATTTACCAGTAAACTTTTAAAACTGTGAAGTCAGGAACACATCTTGTGTATACAGAAAATAAATAGAATATTAATCAGAATGAACCCACTGGAATTTAATGGGCATGTCTAACTTAGGTCTGTTAATTTCAGCAGGTGTGCTCTGAGTAGAACTGACTTGAATGTAACCATCTGTGTACAGGATTTGTGCTAGCAGGCCCATCCTATATCCCGTGGCTTCATTGCACTTGTGCAGAACTCGAGGTGCTCTGCTCAGGTGCCTCCAACCTCATTTGGTGCCAGTGGATACTTCTTCCATAGCGCTGTAGCTGCTTTTGATCTCTCTCCCTGGGACGTGCCCCATGAGGTTTGGAACAGAGGTAGCGTCCTTGTTTCGACCTTCAGCGTATAGGAGGTTCCAAAGAATCCTTCAATAAGCCTCTAGTGCTGCTTGTTCAGGAGTATCAGTTGTGTGTATGTGTGTGTGAAAGAGAGAGCTCATGTGGCCACAGTGATACATTGGGGCTCCTTTTGCAGCTTAGCTGCCTTCTGTGCCCTGTGGAAACCTGTGCAGATGGCATCCAAGCATGGTAGCAACTGGGCTCTTGATTTGTTCCTTAGCCACTCTGATTGTTCATTTTAGGGACTGGCTTTTCATTTGGCTGATTTAGATTTGTAGCCTGTCCAGTTCCAAGAGCTCAGGACATATAAGAGAGGGAGAGAGAGAGACCTGCAATGCTTTGCTCCATTTTTTAAATAGGATGCTAACATCCAAAAAGTGTGCTGGAATTTTATTAAATTACAACATTTCCATAACAGTGGCTCTTTCCGCAAATTCATATTTGAGTTCCCGTTTGGAATCTGCCTTTACCTTGCAATGGAGGAGAGGACCCGGATATGGGTTGCCTCTTCCATTCACACCACCAGGAAGGAATAAGTAGACTGAGACACAGTGCCCTCCTAGTGGGATGGGCAACCCACTTCCTTGGCTCCTCTCCTGCTGAGCTCCACCGCAGGACTGGGGCATGTCCCATTGTGAGAGATCGAAAGCTCTGCAGGCTGGTAACCTCTTTTCTTTTTTCCTGATCATTACTGTGGGTATTGTCAGATCTATTAAAAAAAAAACCCCTCTATACTACTGAGATAGGGGTCTCCTTGCAAAGTAAGGCACCTCTAATCATATGGAACATAGGAAGCAGCCTTATACAAGGGCAAATGTACTTGTTTACGATGGCTTTCTCCAACCTGGTGCCCTCCAGATATTGCTGGTCTACAGCATCCCTGACTATTGGTAATCCCTAGTGGCACTGGTAGGAGTTGTGGTCCAAAGGATCTGAAGGGCATCACGTGGGCTACTCCAGGGTCTCAGGAATAGGTCTTTCTGATCCCTCTAACTGGTGACACCAAGGGTTGACCCAGTGACCCAGGTGATCTACTGCTGAGCTATCATCCTCCATTGAGTAGACAACAGCTTAACTTACTCATGACTTTGACTGTATGCACACTATAACTGTAAAGCACATTCTTTCCCTCAAAGGATTCTGGGCACTCAGAGTTGCAATTCCCAGCAGCCCTTAATAAACTACAGTGCCCAGAATTCTTTGAGAGGAATGTGCTTTAAAGATTAGTGTGTATGCTGCCCCCAAGTCTCAATTGACTCCTGTGTATATTGTCTGCAGGTGTCATTCCACTGAAAAGTGCTGTTTTTCCTAGATCAGGAGTGGGGAATCTCAGTCCCACAAGCCAAAAGTGCCCATTCCTCCTGACCCAGAAGATTCTCCCACTACCTCTGCTGGCTCCAGCCTTTACTGGCTCTACTCCAAGCCCTGCTTGAGTGCTTTTGCCTGGCTGGAACCGATATTTAATTTGTTTATTTATTGCATTTATATCCCACCTTTCCTCCAAGGAGCCTCAAGGTGGCATTTGTGCATGGTTCTCAACAGTAAAACCATATGTGCATGGTTCTCAACAGTAAAAATAGCATAATTTACATAAAATCACAGTCAATTAATTGAAATACATTCTAAAATCAATTTGGAATCAATTAATGGCAACCACCGGGCTAGAGTTCTATGAGGATTATAGAAGGAGGGGGTCAGACTGTGCTTTAGCCAAAGGCCTGGTGGAACAGCTCTGTCTTGCAGGCCCTGCGGAAAGATGTCAAGTCCCGCAGGGCCCTAGTCTCTTGTGACAGAGTGTTCCACCAGATTGGGGCCACGGCCGAAAAAGCCCTGGCTCTGGTTGAGGCTTGAATGCATTCAGAGAGGGAGGAGTGGTCTTCTTGCCAGGCTAGATGACTTGCAGCTGGATCCTGACTTCCAGGGAGTGGCTTCCTGTGACGAAAAGGAAATGTTGGGGAGGGCAGTGATGGTGGAAGTTCCACTGCTGGTCTTACTGCATTCCAAAAAGCCCCAGCAGCCCGTCTTAAATGAGGAGAGGGTCTTCTCACCAGGCTAGATTGTTTACAGCTATCTCCCTCATCTCTCCTCCAGAGGAGGCTGACAGCAGCAAATGGGAAATGCTGGGGAGGGCAGTGATGTTGAGTCCTCTTCCCCTGGAAGTTGCAGGTGCTGGTCTTGGAATGTGTCCTTGAACCGTGATTATTATTATTTCATTTCATCATCCGGTCGCCTTTTAGAGTAAGAAATAAAGCGCAGCAGCCTCCCCGTCCACAGCATGAGGACGTGCAAGTTTATGTGCCTTTTCTCTTCACCCTGTCATCATTCTGCATGCTTTTGAGTTCCTGGCTCTCATAAAATGTAGTAATTTCTAATGCAGCTATTGTAATAAAGTGATTTTTCCGTCTGGGGGATGGGCACCAATACAGCTCCTTGCCAGCAGAGCAAGGGACCCCGAGAGAAAGAGAAAGACAGTATCACATCCCCTGACCTTTTGTTTTCTCAAATGAGGGATTTGAGAGGCAGGGCAGAGAGGGCGGACAGCTATACTGCTCTGTACTATCAATGTGGGGGCATTGGAACCTGACCTGCAGTGACTCTTAGCCTTCGCTTGTGAGGAAAACCACAGCTATCAAATCTCCAAAAGGGGGCGGACCTTCCTTCTTCCACCATGTCTAGCCACAAGCTCTTACTGACCCTTCTTGTACTCTGTCTCAGGGCAGATTTCTGTGGGACCCTCTGCCAATGTGGAACTTTTTAACTCTCTGAAAATGACTATTAAAATGCTGTTCTCCTTTATCTAGCGTTTGTATACTGCTTTCCAAGTGCTTTGCATCCGTTACCTTTTGATCATTCTTTTAACAACAACATTGTGAGGTAGGGTAGCATGACCAGCCCCATATTGCAGATGGCAGGAGGGGCCTAAGGCCCATGGGGTCATCTAGCCCAATGCAGTGCAGTCGTACCTTGGAAGTAGAACAGAATTCGTTCCGGAAGTCCATTCGACTTCTGAAACATTTGACTTCCAAAGCGCGGCTTCTGATTGGCTGCAGGAAGGTCCTGCAGCCAATCAGAAGCTGCGGAAACCCTGTCGGACATTCGGCTTCTAAAAGAACGTTCGCAAACCGGAACACTCACTTCTGGTTTTCGATCGTTCAGGAGCCGGAACGTTCGACTCCCAAGGCATTTGGGAGCCGAGGTACGACTGTAATCTCAACTAAAGTGTTATAAGAAATATGTAAAGCATCCATAACAGATGCCCACCCAACCTCTGATTAAAAACCACCTTCTGAGGGAGTCCGTTCCATGATAAAGGCTTTGTTTGAATGGCTTTCTTTTTGTGTATATACAAAGGAAGGAAGAACACCAAGCTGTGATGTCAACTGCTCCTTTAGCAGCAATCCCCCTCCCTAACCCCAGTTCTTATTCCCTACTATAAGCCTTCTCTAAGATAATTTCTTAATTCAGATGATCACATTTTCTCCTTCCCCTCCACTTCCCCTTCCTTCTCTTGCCTGTTTCCCACCCTGTTTCTGAATAATAAGAGTGTAAGCTTCTCAGGGCAGGGACCTGTCCTCTTAAAAGACTTCATGTGCACCATGTATTTAAAGCACATTATGTCCCCCCCCCCTGCAAAGAATCCTGGAAACTGTAGTTCACCCCTTTCACTGCCCAGCATCCTTAACAAACTGCAGTCCCTAAGATTCCTTTCCTTTTGTGAGGGGTTGTGCGTGTTGTGCTTTAAATGTATGGAGTAAACACAGCCATAAAATGAGATGGCTGTAAGGACAGCAATCCCATCATTCAAACAGGTTGAGAACCATTGTGCTATAATGGAGAGGGTAATCTGCCCCCTTCCTCCTTCTCCCTCTTCTACTTTTTGCTGGGGGCAATGGAGGCTGCTAGGTTTTGAAAGTGCGTAGAGGAAGCACAGACAGACTGGGTGGAATTTGCTGGTCAAGGACAAAGATAGGTGGAGCCCTGCAAACCACAACAGATAGTTCCGGGACAATGGATTTGAGGATTGGGGGAATGTGATCTCTTCCCAGCTTGTGGATGGGGAGGGGGAAGTGGGCTTGCCTCAGGAAGAGGTGGGGCCTGGTTCTCCCAGGGAAGCCATTCCAGGTTGAACCAAGCACGAGCCCTGCCTGGTGTTTGTGTGGGAAATGGCATTTCTTGCCTGCAGACTGAAGAAGCACTGATTATGTGAGCAGATGATCTTGGGAAGAAGGCTGCGATTTGGGGGTGGGGGGCAGGGAGGGAGGGAGGGGAAAGCAATGAGGTGGGACTGGTTTTATTGGATCAGCTCTGGGCAGAAAGATGGCTGTAGCAGCGGAAGCCAAGACTCCTGACCTCTCTATACTCAGTGTGGGGGGGGGGAGGCAGCTATAAATTTCAGCCTCAACATTGAAGCCCTGCAAGGGGGGTTCCCCCTTTCCCTGACCTGTGTCTGTTCCTTCCCTGCCCCATCACTGCATCTAATATGGAAACTGAGGCAGGGGTCTTTACTAACCCCCCCACCCCCAAGAAAAAGGGTTGATCTCTGGAGTTTGTAATTAATTTCACATGCAATGTAAGGAAGGGATGCAATGCAAAAAAAGGGGGGGATTTGGGGGTGATGAATTAATATAGCAAAGACACCCAGAAAGAGTTTTGTAAGACTAAGAAGACAGATTCCCTGCAGCTAAAGTTTCATGACTGTCTGCTTTGAGTACTGTGGTCTTTCAGGCTGTAAGATTTTAAGATGCAATTTTAATTTTATTTTTTTTAAAATGGTTGCTGCTACCAACCTGGGCTGCAATCCCCTTGTGCATTTAAATGAACTTACTTCTGAGTAGGCCTGAAGAGTCTTGTGCTGCATCACAGCTTCCCTTCTGGAGTTTGTAGGGATGTTTTGCTGGCAACACTCAAGCTGCCTTGAAATCCTTGTGATGGGAACAATGGCCCAGACCCAGTCCTGGCCAGGTGAATGCTTAACTAGCCTTTGTATTGGAAATGAGGTAGTTGAAGAGACTGCCAGATTCTCCCTGGGGGAAAAGAATCAGTTTTGCCTGCCTATTGAGAAAGGTAGGGTGGAGCCACAGCAAAATCATTATATCAGGAGGGACAGAGAGATACTCTCAGAACCAGATTGTTGGGAGGGAGGGGAGAAATAAATGAGCAATTGAAGAAGAGGGAAAGATAAGACTTCTGTAAGGTAAGTGAGCTTATTAAAAAGGTTTTGCTACAAGTGAAATCCTGGATGGTATTGCTGTTTTGCACCCCAAGCAGTGTTCGAAACTCCCATTGTTCTAGGAGCATTTTGCGACAGGGGATTTCTTCAGCATGAGCAGTTTCTGAGCTCTGGGCGCAGTACTGCGCCTAAGATTTCAGATTAAAACTGCAGAGTGGAAGGAAAGGAAGACCTTTTTCTACCTCCCCACTTCCAGCTACTCTCTGAAGACTGGAGAAGAGACCCTCTTAAGAATATTAGGGGGGTGGGCAGGAGAAGAACTAGACCATGTGAAAAATGAACATAATATTTTAGCTGCAGTTCATTCATTTTCAGCACTGTATTCTTGTCATAAAAAAGCGCACCTAGACATTCTGTTGTTGCGCCCATAACCTACATTTAAGGTGCTATTTAGCCCCTATCTTTCATATCTCAGTTTCTAACACTCACCCCCAGGGAGCTCAGCAAATTAAGAGCTGTTACGAGGTGTGTTATTTCTTTTGTTAAATTTGTATCCTGCCTTTCCTCCAGGGAGCTCAAAGTTATTATTATTGCTATTAATATTAATAATTACCCACCATTCACCCTAAGGTCCTAGAACGGGTAGCAACCATTTAAAATACAGCTTGAAACAAATTGCAGTCACAAGAATTGAGTGGATCTTGAAAATATTTATCTCAAGCGCCAAATGCTAGGGTAAAGGGTATACGTGGTTGTTCCTCACAACAACCTGGCGAGGTTGAGAGATGGTGACTAGCCCAAGGTCATGTAAGGAGCCTCATGACTGAGTGCAGACTTCCTAACCCAGCATTCTAACCCCCTACACCACACGACACCAGCCTTGCCCTGCTCTGATGTGCACAATACTAGTGGTTATCTCTCCCACATCCCTTGAAATGATGCCAACCCTTCTGAAGAGTGTGTGGCAGGGTGGAGGTGAATGGGAGAATCTGGTCCTCCCAGACAGCACCCGCCTCTGAGACTGCTCACTCCATGCCTTTGTCTCCAGGCCGTACGGTAGTGAAGCCCATCGTCCCCTGGGATTCGGAGGATTCTCAAGAGGAGTTCCCAGCCCCCTGGGAAGTCATGCTGGGGGCCACGGAGACAGCGGAGCAAGACTCCCTGCTGCAGCGCAAGTCGGCCCGGCGCTGCGTCAAGCAGAGGCCTTCCTATGACATCTTTGAATCCTCTGACTCGGAAAAAGAGACGTTGTCCGGCTCAGCCACGCATCGCCGGAAATCCTCCCGGGACTCAGGTGAGAGAGAGGGGGAGAATTCAAGGCTGCTTTGCATTAATCCTGCATGTAGATAGCCCTGTGCACCAATCCAACACAGGAATAATGATGCTGCATGCTCATTGCAACTTTTCATGACATTTGTGTGGCGGGGTCAGTGTGCCTTGGGGGTCTTCATGCTGGACTTGCACCACATCAAGTTAACTTTTCTGGATGATTTTGGCTGTGTGTGAAGCAGCCTTTGTTGTTCTGTGGCTGTGTGAAACACCCTACCCCATATAATGGGCTTAGCTGACTCCTGACTACGTCTTCCATCTCAGTAGGGAACGAATGCTCCGGGGATGTGCCATTGTCTGAGGCCTGCGAATGGAGTCAGGCAGGAGTTCTTGCCTGCCACTACTCATGCTAATTCCCAAGCATGCTGTAAAGCAGGATGGGGGAATCTTTGACCCTCTATATCAGTGTTTCTCAAGCTTGTGTCCCCTCCCGTTGTTGCACTACAACTCCCATCATTCCTAGCTATCAGCACCCGTGGTCAGAGATGATGGGAGTTGTAGCCCAACAATAACTGGGGACTCAAGGTTGAGAAACACTGCTCTAGATTATGTTGGACTACACCTTTCCCCATCCCTGGCCATTGGTCTTGCTGACCAGGGTGGATGGGAGCTGCAGTCCAAGCAGCTTGCGGAGAGCCAAAGGTTCCTACGCCCTGTGGTAAAGGCTAGCTGAGTTGCTGTGCTTTCGAGAACAAGAATAGGACCTTATCCAGTTTGGGACTGATCAAAGCTGACAGGGAAGAAAAGAGCTGGTTGACCGGCAGTTCCTGCTTTCATTTCCAGATCTGCTTCCCATGGATTCGGAGGAGCAGAGTCGGCCCCGCAGGACCCCCCTCCAGCCTGTGGTGCAGCTGAAGGCCAGAAAAAGACCAGAGAAGGTGAGGCTTGGGCAAGGATTAAGTCAGAGCGGGCAGGGACTACCCCACATTTATTTATTAAAATGCAGCAGTTTTATTGTGATCCACATTTTATTCCACCATTATAGCCCTTTGTGGGCAGCAGAGGACAACTCAGCCCAAAGATTTAGTGTAAAAAAGTGCCTTTTGACTGAGTGTGTGTATGTGTTTGTTCCCAATATCGAGTTGTTGTCTTTGGGAAGAGGCTGTGACTTCAAGGGCCAAAACCGAATCTCCAAAGCAGGTCTTTAAAAACCTGCATCTTTCAGAAGTCTCTAGGCTGCTGAGGTAACCCATAGACAGTCCAGACTTTATTTGATGGCTGCTGAGGTTTGATGAGAGGTTTTTCAGTTTTGGTATTTCCTTGCTGGTGTTTTTTTTTTTAAATATTCTTCTTCTTTTGGTATATCACTAGCTTTGAGCATGAGGAAAGCAGCCTATAAATGCAAATTGGACCTGCAGAAAAACACCCAGAATTGTGGAGTGTTTCTATTCAGGGTTCAGCCAGCTAGCCAACCATGCCTTCCTTCAGAATAACCTCTTCCAGGGCTAGAAGCCCTCCAGCTATCTCACCATCCTTACCATTGGCTGTGCTGGAGTTAGAGTCTAGCAACAACTAGAGGAACATAGAAATCCTGGTTTGTATCCAGCTAAGATTTGCTTGCAATTGACCCATTAAAATTGATAGACCTCAATTGGTCATGCCCATTAATCTCAGCAGATCTGCTCTTGTGTAGAACTAGCCTGGGATACAACCTCCTGTTTCCTTTTCCTCTTGGTCTGAGCTTTCACCCTGTTTAGGGAAATGACCACACATTGCATTTCCCGCTGGACTCTGTTCACTTGCCTCTCTGTCCCTTCCTTCCATAGGATGTCCCATCGTCTGGCACACTCCCATCTGTCTCCAACGGCTGGAACGGGAAGCAGAAATCCACGGATGGCATCCACAGGCTCAGAGTTGATTTCAAGGTGTGGGGTGGGGAGTATCTTGTTTGAGAGATGCATCTTTGAAATGATGATATTGAAACACGAGACAAATTATGGGCCACAAAATGCTCTTTTGGGCACCCCTGCACATCTTCCTGCAATAATAATAATAATAATCAAAGCCTTAATCTGATGTAACACCTTTTTTAATATCTGCTTTCTGCTGGTGTGATTCAAGCTCAGCCAACTGCAAATGAGCCAGAACACCCTAAAATCTGCCCCCAACCTACCCCTCATTCACAAATCACACATACCCATTGTACTTTGAAGAGCACAGCTATGTCTAACTTGATGGTACTGCCAGAAATGCTCTGGTTTTTTTCCTAGCTGCTTGGGAGCACTGCTTTCATAACAGCAGGGTGGAGTTGGGTGGGAAGAGAGAGGAGAGGAGGCTGCAGTGAGCTTAAAGCGATGCAGTGGCCACAGGTCTTGGCAACCCCAGCCATTCATGGCCAAAGGCCAATAATGGTGGGAATTTCAATACAGTAACACTTAAAAGAGCCCCAGGTTCCCCACCTCTGGGCTTGATGATCTCCAATCCCTTTCAATTCAGAGATTTGCTCCATCTAGCTATTTTCACAGCTATCCCTCTGCCCCCACCCCCACTTGTGTCTCTTGTAGGAGGACTGTGACCTGGAGAACGTCTGGCTGATGGGTGGCCTCAGCATCCTCACCTCGGTGCCGGTCACCACGCAGGTGGTGTGCCTGCTGTGTGCTAGCAAGGGGTTCCATCAGGTAGGTCTTGAGGAATGGGGTGAGGATACCTGGATTCTGGGATTTCCAGCGTCTCAGTTGTGTGGGGTGGAGGGAACGGATTGCGAGCCCCATTCAGAAGGTTGGGGAGGGGGGCACTTGAGGTCTTCTATCCAAACAGAGATATAACCCTGCTCCTTGATCTCAGGAACCATCATGCCTAATTGGGATACAAATGCATAGCAAATAGACCAGGACTTGTTTTGTACCTGGAACAGGTTGGGGGACATTGGGGTTGCTTCTAACTTGCAGAGAGTTTCTGGCTTCCGTGTATCAAAGCGCATCTAATGCATCTGCCCACCATGTGCTTTGCAGCTTGTGTTCTGCCAGGTGTGCTGCGACCCCTTCCACACCTTCTGCCTGGAGGAGGATGAACAGCCATTGCCCGATCAGGAGGAAAGCTGGTGTTGTCGCCGCTGCAAATTCTGCCACGTCTGCGGCCGCAAAAACAAGGCATCCAAGGTAAGGCGGAGTGTTTTTTCCAGTGTGTGATCTGTGCAAGGGGGGAGGGTCTGTGGAAGTAAACATGGCTCCTTCCAGGGGCTGCACACCCCTCCCATGCTCTCGTGATCCCTACACAAAACACAGCTGGAGATGGAAGGGGTGGCCTCACCACTTCAGGAATGCAGGTCCCAAGAGATTACCCACAAAGCAGTGTAACCCTAGGCATTTAAAAGAAGAAAAAGACACCCCCGTCGCCCCTCAACTAGAGTGTGAGCAAAGGTTTTTAGCAGCATGCAAGGAAAGGGGATATCTAAGTGTTTTAAAGAGGAACAAGGAGGGTTTGGCAGTGTCTTGGTTGTCTGAAGAATAGGAATGAGAGGAATGCATGACCCCAAGATTTTATGCATTAAAGGCAGGTGAAGTTATATCCATAACATCATGGGGAGAAGTTTGGACAGGGATGGTAAGGAGAAGCATCTTTATCATGATATCTGATGCCATGACCCTTTGGTTTGAAAGGGATCCCAAGAACCTGATTTCCCGGGTAGGTTCCTACATGTGAAACCAAGAGCCATGGCCTGCTCTTTGCATTTTGATCACCTCTGTAAAAGCAGAGGCATATACACCTGCTTTGCTTTGTTCTCTTCTGCCTGTCTTTGCATTTCTCATTGGGATTTCTGTCGTACCTGTGATTAGTTGCAATGAATTCCTGCCCCAAAAAATGTGCGTAATGGCCTCCTTTCCCTCTCCTTGTTCCTCAACCTGCCGCAGCAACTGCTGGAGTGTGAGCGCTGCAGGAACTGCTATCACCTGGCTTGCCTTGGGCCGAACTACCCCACTAAACCTTTCCGTAAGAGGAAGGGCTGGGTAAGTGTCTTGCAGATTCCCAGCACCCCTCTAGTTCGGCAGAGCCTTCCCTCGCTTGTGTTGCGGCTGCTAACCTGTCTCCTTCATCCTCTCCCTATTCAGATCTGTTCGGCCTGCATCCGCTGTAAGAGTTGCGGGACAGCTCCAGGGAAGAACTGGGACACAGAGTGGTCTAGTGACTACAGCTTGTGCTCTGCCTGCTCTGTGCTCTACGATAAAGGTGAGCATAGCGGAATTGCCTGGGAAATGCCATGGGTTTCAGTTTGAGCTGTGTCAGGTAAGGCATTGCGAGGGGCTGACATTCCACAAACAAGTTCACATATTTTGCTCACACAATGCGTGTCTTCCTTAGCCCTAGACAGCAAAGCCTTACACAGCACTGCGACCCAAATAGTTGTTGTACTCTTTCTTTCCTACTAGTTCACCCGTTCATTTACATTGTCCTCTGAAACTTCTCTTCCAGGGGCCTCTCCTTCTGGGATTTAATGGGCAGCTACTGGGGGGGGGAGAGAAAGCTTTTTTGGGGGGTTGGCCTCTCACCTTGCCATGGCTTCCCCAAGGAGGCTTGACAGATGTCTGTTCTGGTGATGTTCAGATGGCAGGCAAATCCTAGACTTTTAGAAATCCTACATTTTTATTTTGTTTTTTAAAAATTATGCAGTTGATGTAGAGGCTGTCCTGTTTGAGTTTTTTTATGTTTTACAAGCAGCCTTGTACCTGGATTCTAAGAAACCAGAACATCAGTGAAGTTTTGAAATTGGTGTTTAAGATCTTAATTCTTAAGTCTTAATTCAAAATTGTATCCAATCATAGACAGAAGCCTGCTCCTTGACCTCAGGAACCATCATGTCAAATTGGGATGCGGTATCTGAAGAGGTGTCCTGATGCATAGCGAACAGGCAAACAACTTTCCAAAGCGTAGATTGATGATGCTGTTTATACTGCATTTCATTGTTTTATATTGATTAGCTTGTCTGATTTTGGACTCAGAAGGTGTCGGATATATATGGAGCAAATAAATAAAGGGGGAGCGAATACACAGCTCATTTTGGGAGGGCTTTGAATAATAATAATAATATCTTTATTGTCATTGCCCCCTCTCGGGGACAACGAAATTACCTGACCTGCAGAAGAAGATTCCATTAGTTTGTTCTCTGCCTCCCTCTTTTCCCATCCAGGTAACTACTGCCCAATCTGCTTGCACTGCTATGAAGACAATGACTACGAGAGCAAGATGATGCAGTGTGCCAAGTGTGACCACTGGGTTCATGCCAAGTGTGAGGGACTCTCAGGTTTGTTCTGCTGCATCACAGATCCCTCTCCCTCCTTCACATCTGCCTACCTGCTTACATCTCAAATGGCGGGGAGGAGAAATAATGTGGGGGAGAGTTGTGGCAGAGTCAGGAGAGGACAACAGAGGCAATTGAGAGGCGAATGCAAGTCGCAGCCTCTGTTAAATTGCCTGTGATATGCTCCCCTTTTTGACCTTCTGGCTAGGTCTTTCCCTTGACAGCATATGCCTGCCCATCTTGCTAGCGTTGATGAGTGCAGTAGGGTAGCCTGAGAACAGCATAACAGTCTTTGGGCTAAGTCTGGGCATCTCTGATGTGTTCCCACCCCCCTCTCTTACAGATGAAGGCTATGAGATCTTGTCCAACTTACCCGAGAGCGTCATATACGCTTGCCGGCCCTGCTGCGGCAGTGACAAGGCCAAGTGGCGGGAAGTCCTCACCTTGGAGTTGCGTAAGGGTCTCCGGCAGGTGCTCCAGGGGCTGATGAGTTCCAAGTGTGCCACCCCGCTGCTTCAGTGCACACAGGTATGTTCTCTCCAGGACATGCGTAACAGCAGGGAGTTGTGCTTTTAAAATCACCGTTCTTGATCTGGCTGCCCTACTGAAGGAGATTTACCTTGGCCCCATTTGCAGGCACACTTTGGGTCTGGCTGGGCTGGACGCATCTGTGTCCAGCACTCTTCAAACACAGTCTCACTGCTTCCTTTGTCCTTTGATCTGGTTGCCCATTCCTTGGCTAGGTGGGAAGATGCTGGGATAGCTCAGTCAGTAGAGCATAAGACTCTTAATCTCAGATGCTCAGAGTCGTGAGTTTGAGCCTCGTGTTGGGTGAAAAGATTCCTGCGTTGCAGGAGGTTGGATTAGATTACCCTCGTGGTCCCTTCCAACTCTATGGTTCTATGACTTCAGCTTTCCATGATATTTGAGTCTGTAGGTTGCTTACATGATAAAGGGGGGGGGATGTAGTATCGAGTGACATCCCTAAGGATAAAAGGAATGTGTTCCTTTACGCAACCGCGGCAGCCAGAATCATAGTGGCAAAAAATTGGAAAACTGATAAAATACCAGAATTAGAATGGAGAACCAAATTTCTTGAATTCGTGGAGATGGCAAAATTAACAGCATCAATTAGAAGCTACTCTGATAAAAAAATTAATAAAGAGTGGGAATGCATTAAGGAATACATGAAAAAAGTCAGTGCTGGAGTTTAAAAATTAATATGCAAAAGTTCAAAAGGCACAAGGAGATAGGATAATAATATATTAAGGATGGAATAACAAATAAAGTGAATAACACAACAATAACAAAAATAATAGGAGGTAAAGAAGATTGCACACAGGTGAAGGGAAGTACTAGGCTGTGGGGGAGGGAGGTGAAGGGATTAATTGAAATTGTTAAAGATTGGTATAGGATTTAAGAGATTTAAATTTTTATAAAGATCTATAAGGAAAGCGGGACGCGGGTGGCGCTGTGGGTAAAAGCCTCAGCGCCTAGGGCTTGCCGATCGAAAGGTCGGCGGTTCGAATCCCCTTGGTGGGGTGTGCTCCCGCTGCTCGGTCCCAGCGCCTGCCAACCTAGCAGTTCGAAAGCACCCCCGGGTGCAAGTAGATAAATAGGGACCGCTTACTAGCGGGAAGGTAAACGGCGTTTCCGTGTGCTGCGCTGGCTCGTCAGATGCAGCTTTGTCACGCTGGCCACGTGACCCGGAAGTGTCTTCGGACAGCGCTGGCCCCCGGCCTCTTAAGTGAGATGGGCGCACAACCCTAGAGTCTGTCAAGACTGGCCTGTACGGGCAGGGGTACCTTTACCTTTACCTTTTAAAAGGAAAGCAGAAAGCAGCAAGAAATATCAAGTAAAGGTGTCGGAGAGGAGATCAGTGTAAATGAAAACATGAGATTTACGGTTTTGTTACATATGATTTTATTTTGGAGTTGTCTGCTTATTTTGGAGTTGTTTGTTGTAAAGAATGTATATTATGTGAATAAAATAATAAAGGATATGAAATTGGGGGGAAAAGATAAAGGGGTGTGTGTGTGGAATCTTAGAGATTATGGGAACTGTTTGATTATTGCAACACAGGACCTTTATGTCACAGAGTTCTTTGCATGCTGTAGGCAGGGGTGGGGTGGAGGCTGCAGAACAGGTGGCAGTGCCCCATTTTCCTCTGTCCTTTGCCAGTGCTGCCCGGATGACGGCGTGAAGGTTCACCTGCGGCCCTGTGACCTGCGCACTGTCAACAAGCTGTTTGAACAGGGTCACTACTCGTCCGTGGTGAGTGTTGGGAGCAGGGATTCCAGGCTGGAATGGGAGCAAGGCCTCTGACCTCGGCTGAGCTGCTTTCTCTCTTTGCAGCATAGCTTCAATGAGGACATGGTGGGGGTCCTGCTGGGGCACACGGAGGAAGACCAGACCGGCCTTATGGCAAAGGCACTCTACATCGAGGTAACTCTGTGCGATCTGGGTTTGGTGGGGAGGAGGGATGTGTGGTCTGGATTGACTAAACTAACTTGAGTGGGAATGGGGGGAAGGGGGGTGTTTGTGCATGTGCTCCACGCTGGCTTGGGAGCACTTCCTCCCCTGCAATTCGGCACAGCCTCTCTCCCTGAGCAGCCTTGTGATTGCCTGCTTTTTATCTTTCCAGCTGATGGAAAAGTTCTTCAGCTGGTTTGATGCTCAGGATGTAAAGCACTGGACCCGCAGCAGCACCCTCCCCAAGTGAGTGCTCAGTAGCTGAAAGCGCCGAAGTCATGCTTCCCCCTCACCAACGGTGTCCATTCAGGGCCTCTCTGGTGCTTTTTTTGGGGGGGGGGAGTTGGAGGCTTCAGACGCACCATGGACCATTGTGTGCAATTCAGTATGGATGTTCCAACGGCATTTTGGGAATCTGTAGAGGGGCTCAATAGGAGCTGTGTACAAACTACAAATGGGACACGGGTGGTGCTGTGGGTTAAACTAGGACTTGCCAATCAGACAGTCGGCGGTTCAAATCCCCGCAAGGGAGAGAGCTCCCGTTGCTCAGTCCCTGCTCCTGCCAACCTAGCAGTTCGAAAGCACGTCAGAGTGCAAGTAGATAAATAGGTACCACTCCAGCGGGAAGGTAAACGGCGTTTCCGTGCGCTGCTCTGGTTCGCCAGAAGTGGCTTAGCCATGCTGGCCACATGACCCGGAAGCTGTACGCCAGCTCCCTCGGCCAATAAAGCGAGATGAGCGCCACAACCCCCGAGTCTGTCACGACTGGACCTAATGGTCAGGGATCCCTTTACCTTTACTTTTACTAACTACAAAAACCATCCAGGCCCCACATCATCTGTTTTCCTTGAAATTTGCTGCTACTCCAAGTGAATAGAGTGGGAATTAGAATTGGTTAAGGGCGTGGAATATACACAGCCAGGTCTCCTCTTCCTTTTTGTCTCACTTTTTGTTTGTTAAGGTGACACTGGAAATCTGTATTCTCACCACAGTCTAATCGTGAGTCTAATCCATCATAGGTGCAGATGAGAGATAAGAGGGTGAGATCACAGTAAATTCATGGGGATGGGGCAGACTTGGCCCTGTGTCTCCCAGTGGCAAGACGTTTTATCTGTTCACAGATCCCACAATTGGCTTTAGATCCTGTTCTTTTATTACCACCTCCCCTTTTTATTTTTATTTTTGTATTTCAGTCGCTGGCTTCAAGCCTGTTCTATATCTATTCCTGTGGCCTGTTTCAAACTCTGAACTGGGGTTTCCTTAGAACCAGAGCTTCTGCAGCCCCTGACAACTTATTCTTTTCTCCCCAACAGTGGCATGCTTCCTAACGCTGTTCTGCCTCCCTCCTCTGACCACATCTATGCTCAGTGGAGGCAGTCTGAGGAGGTCATCTCGGCTGCCAACAGCCACCTGACTTCTACTGGGTCTGAAAAGACAGGTGAGATTTTGGTTTTCATCAGGCATAGGCAAACTCAGCCCTCAGGATGTTTTGGGACTACAACTGCCATCATCCCTGACCACCGGTCCTGTTAGCTAGGGATGATGGGAGTTGTAGTCCCAAAACATCTGGAGGGCCGAGTTTGCCTATGCCTGGTTTTCATGGAGTAGAAGCTGCCTCTCTACATGCAGACTCCCTTGGTTTTTACAGTTGCCCAGGAGAACTTTGGCTGCTGCCGTTCTCCTGCTAGAAGGGAACATAAGAAGCTGCCTTATACCAAGTCAGGGCATTGGTCCAACTAGCTCTGTATTGTCTACACTGACTGATAGTGAACCTCCAGGTATAAAATGGGTCTCTCTTAGCTGTACCTGTAGATGCTGGGGATTGAACATGGGATGTTATGCATGCAAAGCCATGTGCACTATGCTTGAGGCTTGTCACGCTGTATTTCCTTCTTTCTCTCTACATCAGGGTTTCCCAAACTTGGGCCTCCAGCTGCTTTTGGACTACAATTCCCATCATCCCTAGCTAGCAGGACCAGCTGTCAGGGATGATGGGAATTGTAGTCATGCTGTTTTTGGAGACCCAAGTTTGGACAACTGCTCTACGTCAAAGGTTGGAAACCCATGGCCCTCCAGTTGTTGTTGGGACTCCTAATCTCCAGCATGGCCGCTGGGGATGTGTGATGGGAGTTGGAGTCCAGCGACATCCAGAGGGCCAGAGATTCCCCACTCATGCTCTGCACAGAAGATCTCTGTGTCCTTTCTGGAAGATGCTCTCTGAAGGGATGTTTGGGGGGGGGGCTTCTTGCCCTCCAGCGGCTGGAGCTCAATGCCTAACCGCTTTCCTTCTCTCCCTGTAGCTGGGAAAGACTCAGAACATGCCGTGCTGCAGCAGCCGTTGGATGACCCTGAGGACAAGAGACAGTGTGCCTTGTGCCTCCAGTATGGAGATGCTCCTTCTAAGGTAAGACTACACCCTTCTGCTTTGATAAAAACATAAGAAGGACCATTCTGGATCAGGCCCCATGGCTTGTGCATCCTGGCATCCCTGTTCCCCACAGTGGCCAGTTGGGAAGCCCAAAAGCAGGATGTGTGCACGATAGAGCCCTCCTGCTGCTTTTGTTCCTCTAGTGCAGGAGTTGTCAACCTGGTCCCTACTGCCCACTAGTGGACGTTTCAGAATTCTAGGTGGGTGGCAGGGGGTTCTGCGGCACAAGCCGAATCCTTCCATTGAGCACTGGTGGGTGGTGAGGAAATTTTACCATCAAGAAAGACGCATTAGTGGGCAGTAGGTATAAAAAGGTTGCCTACCCCTGCTCTAGTGACTGGCATTCTCAAGCACACTGTCTCTCAGCCTGGAACTATGTAGCTATTGGGGCTAGTATCTTACCGATGGAAAGTGTCCTAGCTGGACCTTTTTGAGGCTATATTGAGAGAATAAGGGGAGGATCAAATCCAGTGGCTTTGTAGGGTGGTTTTGTTTGTTGTTGTGGAGGAGGCAGCTTAAGTGGAGGGTTGGACAGGGCCAGGAAATCTATAACCCCTGGATCCTGTCTCATGTCCGGGAGGTGACCATGTGAACCCCTTGCAAATCCCTTCCTCGTGGCTAGACCTTGAGGTGTTGCCTTCCCCCTCCCTCTTCAACATGAGCTCTCTTCCTGCCCTCCAGGACGCAGGGAGGCTGCTGTACATCGGCCAGAACGAGTGGACACACGTCAACTGTGCCATCTGGTCAGCGGAGGTCTTTGAGGAGAACGATGGCTCCCTGAAGAACGTGCATGCTGCCGTAGCCCGGGGTCGGCAAATGGTGAGTTGGGCTTCTCTCCATTCAGCTCTGTAGAAGAGGGGATAGGACCAGACCCTCCTCGTGGCCAGTGCTGGATTTATGTATAAGCTAAACAAGCTATTGCTTAGGGCTCCACTCTCTTGGGGCCCCCAAAAAAATTTAAAGGGAAAAAAACCTGGATGTACATTTCCAAAATATAAGATAAAAATAAAATAAAATAAAACCTACATACAACAACCATGTTTTGTGTTGTGTGTGGACCTATTAGGTCCATAAATTACCATATAGCATATATTTAACACAAAAAACTGACAATTTGTTGTTGACAAAGGACAGCTGGACATATAAACGGCCCCATTAACTTCAGTAGCTTAGGGCCTCATCGAACCTAAATCCAGCCCTTCTTGTGGCCTCAGTAGAATTCCCACTGTGAGCGAGGGTCCTGAAAACACTGCACTTTACAAAGAAAGGCACTGCTGAATAAGGGCGGGGAAACTTTTATCCATCCGCATTGCCACAATTCAAAGACACATTCCAGCCCGGTATTCAAGGAAGAGGGCATGGGAAGGGAGCCTTGTGAGAGTTGGAGTCAGGGGAGATGGGGGCAGAGCCTAAGGAGGGTTCTGTGGGCCAGATAGAGAGGCCTGGGGCATTTGCTCTTGAACCCAAGCCCCACCCTACCCCTGCTGTAAAGGAGCAAACTAGCCTGCTCCTGAAGCAACCCACTGAGATACACTCTGGCTTCACCAGGTGCTGCCCATATTTCAGCCTTAGTTTTCAGTCACTGCTGCTCAAAACCTTTCTTTAAAAGTCCATCTCTGAGATTCTTGGTATGCTGAATTTTGCTCTAGTAATTGAATCTCCACAATTGCACACGGCATATGAATAGCGATGTGGACGTGATGGTTTAACAGCTGTCCAGTTTTTTACGTCAACCAGATCTTACGTTCCCTGGACCCACTTCATACTTAAGAGCCTCCACTCAAATTAAGAATCAAAACTCCTCTTTCCCCCCGGCCAGGGTGGAGCTGAAAACTCCTTCCAAGTGTTCACTGCTGTGAGAACAGTGCTTGGGTATTACTACAGATTTTATCAATCAACTAGAAAGTCCTAGCAAGACTGCATCATCAACATGGCTGCTTTCTGCATCTGATTGCATTGATGTGTAGGGTGATTTTGGTGATGAGGAAAAGAGAGGAAGGAATGGGGTGTTCGGAGTGCATGTTTGTCTCTATAATGTGTATATAAATGCCCTCCCCAAATTACATCTTGGTCAGAAACGAATGCAGACTGATGATTTTGTTCCTTGGTGACATTTTGGCCCTCTGCGTCTTTGCTTAGTGCCACACACTTTATCCCTTGCCCTGCTGCAGTGGCGTTCCTTCCACACCTTTGACATACCTCTCTCTCCCCCCCACCCCTTAGCGCTGCGAACACTGTCAACGTACGGGGGCCACGGTTGGCTGCTGCCTCTCCGCGTGCATCAGCAACTACCACTTCATGTGTGCTCGCCTCTGCCAGTGCACCTTCCAGGATGACAAGAAAGTCTTCTGCCAGAAGCACGTTGACCTCCTGGATGGGACAGTAAGTGGGGAGGGCACCATCAGGCTTCCTGTCGCCTCTGGGATGAGTGGGTCGTGGGTGGGACAGTTCTGTTAGGCCTGGCAGTTTTGTCTTCAGAAGCTTGGTCACTGCAAATAGAATTTAAGAGGGTCCCTGGGCCATGTTGTCTGCCTTTTTAGGAGATAGTTGCTGAAGATGGGTTTGATGTCTTGCGCCGCGTCTACGTTGACTTCGAGGGCATCAGCTTTAAGAGGAAGTTCATGGTGGGCCTGGAGCCAGACACCATCAACATGATGATAGGTAATTATATGGGGACAGGGCAGGAGAGCAGCACTTTGCTGTGCAAATACTGTGGTCCAGAGTAGATGGGATTTTCTTCTCTAGCAAGTGGGTGGTTCTGCAGTTGAACATGCAGGGAATAGGAGGGACCAGCTTGCTTCAGAATGGAGCAGAAGGATCTGCAACTGGAAATTGATTCATCACCGCTCTTTGCTCCTTGTATCCTTCACGCCTCTGTTCTGGCAGTGTCTGTGCTGGTTATCTCAAACGCCAGCAAATAAACTTGTTGTTAATACTTAATGGGGGAGGGAGGGAGGGCGTCGCCTACAAGAGAAAAAGTAAACTCTGAAACCATTGGGGTGGACAAACATTTGTCCCCTCTGAACTATATCTTAGATTGCATCTTGTCCCATAGTGCCAATGCCAGCTAAGCCAGCCCCTGTCTGTGTGCCTACACCTTGAGTTCCTGCATCTTGGCTAGGCCCATTCTGGGAACCCAGAAACTAACTTTCTTGGTTCCCTTGTAGACGGAGTGTAGGATACCCTAATTTAGCCTCTCCAGAGGTGCCTGAAAGGCAGAAAATCTTAGCAACTATTCTTTATCCTTTCCCTTTGCTCATGCGCTAATTACCATGGGACGCCGTCCATTGGGACACCCTCAGGTACAAACTCCGTTGAAACAGAAGCTTCTGCAGCAGAACTCTCCCCAGTGAATTGTATCCATTAGGTCTGATAGGTTTTTCTCTCTCCCATGCTCTGCCATCCGTAATAGCCCCCCTAACCCACATCCTGAGGCAACTGCCTTTCTGTTAGCTTCATTTTCGCTCTGTTTCTGGCTCTCTGCTCAATGTATTTCTGCTTCCAGGCTCCATGAAGATCGACAGCTTGGGGATGCTGACAGATCTGTCCGAGTGCGAGGGACGCCTCTTTCCCGTAGGCTACCAGTGAGTATCCGCATTAAAGTTGGTAGCAGCCTCACACCCACCTTAAGTGACAAAGAAAGAACAATCCCATGCTAGCTGTCCTGAGGATCATCACCAGGGGAGCCGTTATTGCGGGGGCGTGTATGGATACGAGATGGCTTTTGGCAGGGGATACCCAGAAGAAAAGGACAGGGCAGCTGCTTCTGTGCCACACTGCTTCAAAATTCTCTGCCAGCTTTAGGAGTCCTCGCAGCATTTGGGGCCGTTCTTTCAGCTCTGATTTGGTCAAGCATGAAGAGCAAGACCCAGTTTCCAAAATCGCATTGAAAGTCAAAATCCAAGAGCACTCAACACGTGGAAGTTGATCAGGCTGCCTTCACTGTGTGCCCAGGATTCCTGGATTTCACCCATGTGAAAAAGGGTTTGGGTGTCCTGGGTGGCTGTTCACACCGTTGAAACTAATTGCACTCTTTCCAGGAAGGTGCACTCAGTCCTGGCTCCTGGATCTTACCTGTGTGGTGCCTGCTTTTGCAAGCACTGGTCTGTTGCATTCACACTCCCCATATTTGGGTATGGATGGGTCTTGAGAGAGACACTCAAGAATTGAAAATGCAATTTGTGTCTGAAGCATCCCTTGGTGGTTTATGTACTGAGTATTTAATAGGAAGGGAGATGTGTGTTAATGTTGCTCTTCTCTTAATACAGTATTAAATTAATGGTATCAGAAAACTTTTCCACTGTGGTTGCTGCTGTGCGGATGTTTGCAGCACTCTGCATCCCTCAAGTAACCTCTCCAGATGAAAAAATGCCCACCATTTGCCTTCCTTAAAAGGATTGTCATACGTTTCCCATTTATAATAATTACGGGCTAGTGAAATAATAGAAATACAGGTTTTTTAAAAACCATTTCGCTCCTTATTTTAGTCTAAACCCGTTCATTTTATCTGGCATGAAGGGTTCTACTGAATAGATGCTGAAGCAGATACTGTCTTAGCATGGATTAGCTTACCCTTTACGCCATCCTCTTGGCAGGGTGGCTCAAGAGAAGGGAGGGACTTTATCCTCCTCCACATCTCCTTGGGAGCTTTCAGCACGTTTCTTATGGTTGATGGCGGGTGTGAAACCAAAGTGTGGTCGTTATTCCAGGTGGATTAATGCACAGTGTGGTGTGTTTAGGTACCTGCACACATGGCATGGGGGATTATTTGCAACCACTCTTTTCCTTCCCTCCCATTTTTTTAATTTTACCAATTGGAAAATGCTTGTAACCGATCTCTGTTTCCCCCTCTTTTAATGTGAATGAGGGCTGTGTAGGATGCAGTTCAGGATGCTCTGCATCTCACAGCGGCCAATCAGATATTGCGTAGTCACCTGTAACGACATACGAGATTTGTAGCATAATGTGGCTACATGGGTCACAGCAGCCTTTGCCAACCTGGTGCCCTCCAGATGTTTTTAAGTACAACTCCCAGCCAGATGCTGGGAGTTGGTGAAGGCTGGCTTTCAGGTCCCTACCCAGTAAGCTTCTAAATAGCTAACATCTTTTAAATTTGCTGTTACAACATTTATTCCCCAACTTTTCTCCAGAGAGCTCAAGTTGGAGGACATAGTTCTCCTTGTTATCCTCACGACAACTCTCTGAAGTAGATTAGAGTGGGAGTTGGAGACACCCAGTGAGCTTCATGGCCTAGTGGGGATTTGCACTCTGGTCAGCAAGGTCCTAGACCCAAAACCCTAGTCATCATACCACATTGGCACTCAACATATTCCCCAGCTGTCAGAATCCACTCTTGCAGCTGTGCAGAAGGATGGGCCTTGATTTGACCAGCTGCCATGTAGATTCTTTAAAAGCTCCATAACAACCAGAACCAGAAAGCCGCCTTTCTCCTTTGCCCTCTCCACAGTCTTCTCTCGTTTGCTTCTTGCTGTGTTCTGTCTAGCAAGAGCCATGGAAGTGTCTCCCATTTAATTCTGCAGGATTTTGCCAGACTTGGGAAGAGTTTCCCTGCCTTTGAAAAAGGACAAAAGATCCTAGCGATCCTCTGCAGTAGCACACAAAACCTGGGAAACTTGTTTTTCAGCAGGTATCCTTTTCCCTTTCTTTAAAAGGGCAAGGCATGTCTACCTGAGGCCTGGGTGCCAACATGTCTGCTTCCAGGTGTTCATAGGAAGGTTGACAGCCATTTTCGGTATGCCAGTGCCCTGCAATTATGGACTGTGATGCACAAAGATAGCTACTCTTTACACAGCCTCTGAAAATGTTTTCCTGGTTGTGTGCCTTTTCTTCCCTCTGGCTCTTTAAACGTTTGCTTTCTGGAACTGCCCACTTGGCGTCCATCTGGCAAAAGCAAATCAAACGTCACATGAAAATCTCTGATGCTTGCTTCCTCTCTGCTGGTCAGGGATGCAGAGACGAGAGAAGTTCTTTTTCTTCATCTCTGAAGTTGTGTGAATTGCTCTCTCTCTTCCCCAACCTGGTGGGCGCCGGATGTTTGGACATCAGTCCCTGACCAGCACAGCTGGAGGGATATGCCATCTGAAACATCTGGAACCCACCAGGTTGAGGAAGGCTGAAGTATCTGCCCGAATGTGCCAACAAACATTCACAAATCGGTTTTGCAAAACCTTGGAGCAGGGCTTTTTATCTGTTTATGGATAATCGGCTCCACCCATGGTGAACCATCTAAAGGCCCTATCCGAAGGATGGAGAACCTGTGGCCTCATCTGTGAGGTCAGGCTCCAACTCCTATCATCCCCAGCCAGCGTGACCAGTAGTCAAGGATGATGGCTGTTGTAGTTGAATAATTTCTGGAGGGCCACAGGTTCCCCATCCTTAATTCCAATCCCCTAACCGCTAGGCATTTGCCACCAAGGATAGGAGGCCACTTGGTTGCAATGGGGGCTGGTCCATTAGGGCAAATGGGGCACTGCCTCACCAACCTTCACCTTGAGGTCTCCTAGCCCACCTGTGGTCTTACTTGCAACCGTCCAAAGGGTGACTCTGGCTGTCTTGCTTCTTGCACCTTTGCCTCGGCGTTACCCATGTACAACTAAGTAGGGGCGGGTGCAAAACTTAGTTGACTCTGCCAGTCATTGGTTCCACTTACTGTTAGACACCTTGCTTTCCTCCCAGCAATCCTGCGCCACTGCTTTGAGCAAGCAGCCCCATGGCAGCCAGAAGGCGATTCTGATGGGACTGCCTTTGTATTCCTTCCACCCCCAGGTGTTCCCGTATTTATTGGAGCACGGTGGACGCCCGCAAGCAGTGCTGGTACAAGTGTCGCGTCCTGGAGTACCGGCCCAAGCTGAGTCCAGAGGAGCCTGATGCCTCGGGAGTGCAGGAGGAGAACCACACGATAGTGCACAGCCCAGCTGCCCCTGCAGGTAAGGGGATCTGGGATGTGCAGCTGGGCTGGCTTTTGGATACCGTCATCCTCTCCATCTGCAGTAGGAAGTCTGGGTGGTGATAAGTTTTCCTGCCCACTTGCATATTGTGGGGGGATGCTCTGCATCCAGCTTTACCTGACAAAGAGGTTAAAAGTCAAATCCTTTAAGCCAGTTTAGTAGTTAAGCTACTTCTCTGGGGCAAATAAAGGTAAAGGTAAAGGGACCCCTGACCATTAGGTCCAGTCGTGACCGACTGGGGTTGTGGTGCTCATCTCGCTTTCTTGGCCGAGGGAGCCGGCGTACAGCTTCCGGGTCATGTGGCCAGCATGATTAAGCCGCTTCTGGCGAACCAGAGCAGCGCATGGAAATGCCGTTTACCTTCCTGCTGGAGCGGTACCTATTTATCTACTTGCACTTTGGCGTGCTTTCGAACTGCTAGGTTGGCAGGAGCTGGGACAGAGCAAAGGGAGCTCACCTCATTGCGGGGATTTGAACCGCCGACCTTCTTATCAGCAAGTCCTAGGCTCTGTGGTTTAACCCACAGCGCCACCCGCATCCCTATCCTTTCTGCTCAAAACCAGAATACAGTTTTACCTTGGTTGCTGAACTCCTTGGAACTCATCCATTTCGGCTCCCGAACAATCGAAAACCAGAAGTGATTGTTCCAGTTTTCAAATGATTTTCGGAAGCCACCTTTGAACGGTTCCGGGAGTCGAACGGACTCTTGGAACGCATTCTGTTTGAGAACCAAGGTTTGGGTTGGGGCCTGTCGCCCTTCAAAGTTTTTGGACTCCAACTCCCATAAAGGGGGGGGGGGGCTGGGAGAGAAAAATAAAAGCAAATGTATATAAGAGTACAAGTCTTCAGCCCATGTAGACCAAATGGGCAAATAATCTGTTCTGGAATAAGGCAGTTTTCTTGGTTCTGTGCTGTCTTTTCTCAGAACAAAGCCCACAGTAAGGGTTGCCGGCTTCTGGGCGCTGCCATTGCCATGCTTGGTCTCTTGTCATGTGCCTTTTCACGTTTTCAGATCCTAAACTTGGGAATGAGCACCTTCAGGATGTGCCCCCTCCACTGCCGCCGCTGGAGCGCCACTCCCCCGCGCAGAACCCAGGGCCTCTGCCACCCCCGGAGTCTGCGGCCTCCAAACACAGGTCTCTCACTGGAGCGCGCATCAAAGTGCCCAACTACTCCCCTACTCGACGACCCATAAGTGGGGTGTCATCCCGCCCGCTGCCTTCTCCTGGTGAGTAGCTTCAAGGCCACGTAGGCAGAGTAGGCAGCACAGAGGCAAGAGGGTCTGAAACAGAGGCCAGCAGCTGGATGCTCCAAGGCCAATTCTTGCTTTGAAACAAGGCTAATGGAACAGGAGAAGCAGGAGAGCATAGCGAGCGCAGGGAGTGTGGGGCATGAGCCCATTGGTTCTTCAGAGATGGGGAGAGGTTCTGACATGCCTGTGCTCCGCTGCAGTCCTTTGCATGTGGGTTGTGATATTGTTGTGTCTGAGTGGTTGGCTGATAGAGAGGGTGTTTGAGGTAGACCCTGGGAAGTCATGGCCAGTCAGCGTAAACCAGGGGTAAGGAACTGTAATGGCTGCATTCCTTTCTGGGCAACTTTCCAAAAACCACACAACGGGGGGGGGGGGGGCAGAGGCAAAAATGGGCGGAGCAATTTTGCCTTTGTTCAGTAGGCCAGTTTCTACATACACCAACACCTCTTTCTATCCAGAGGCCTTACCAGAGTCTTAGGGCGCATTCCAGCTGGGCAAAAGCCCTCTGGGTGTGGAATGGGGCCAGTGATAGAATCGCAGAGTTGAAAGGGGACCCCGAGGGTCATCAAGTCCAACCCCCTGCATCCATGACAAATAGCCATCCATGTGTTGCCTGAGAAGTGTTCCCAGAGCCAGAGAGAGAGGCCTGGAAGGTGGCATTCAGACCCCCAGCCTGAGCTTCCCCATCCCAATACTGAGCTAGACAGACACAGTGCTCTGACTCCAAACATAGGAAGCCGCTGTCTACTAGGTTCCTCAAAAGTGGCAAGTTATCCCATGGGGGAGGGAGGCGAGTTGTCCCCTGTGCGGCTAGTGCATTTGTGCATCTGCCTGTTTTGCTTCCCACCCCCGTTGACGTGCTCTTCCTGTTCCCTCCACCACAGGGAGCGCATCATCCATGTCCCACCACATCTTGACGGTGGGCGACCCTGACTTCCCCCCTCCACGCCGCACGCAGCGCCTCAGCCCCCTGTCTCCCAGCAGCGTCCCCCATGCCCACCGCTCCCCCCTCCCGCCGCAGGCCGCTGCTAGCAACAGGACTAGTCCCCCCAGCACCTCTCTCAGGGCCATGCCGCCTCTCCCGGACAACCCCCTGGCGGGGAGCGGCTTCAGGCATACTTCTACCTCTGACGGGCAGCGCCCCCTACCTACCTCACCCCCTCCCTCGCCCCCGCCCGTCCCGCCAGAGCTGGCTTTCGAGCTCAACGTCTCCGACCTGGAGTTTGACGACAGCCTCCTGGACGAGCCTTTCCAGGAGGAGGAGCTGGGCGTGCCGCGAGCCTGCCCCTCGCCCAGCCTGGAGCTGCCCCAGCTGGACGGCCTGGGCGACGGCGAGAGCGAGGAGGAAGGGGAGGCCAGCCGCTACTTCCGCTTCCCCCGCACGGTGGTAACCCGGGAGCCGCCCCTGCCGCCGTACCCACTGGACCTCCCTCTGCCCCACATCCACCAGCTCGACGGCATCGACGACGGGACCGACAGCGAGGCGGACGGGGCAGGGGGCCACCCTCCGGCCAAGGGCAAGCAAGCAGAGCCGAGAGTCGAACGGGAGCTGGCTGGCCCTGCTCCTGCGCCGGAGGACCTGCCCTCGGACATTGTGGACTTCGTCCTGAAGAATATGGACACGCCGGAGAGCAAGGCGCCGCTCTCCTCCTGCCTCAACCAGGTGGCCTCGCCGCCACCAGCACCCCCTACCTCTGCCAGCCTCAACGGCACCGAGGCAGCCCACCCCAGCCCTGCTCCAGACCTGGCCCCGACCCTGGGTTGTGCCCAGGTGCCAGGCACCCCTGAGGTCAAGCTGCTGGGACCCGAGGGGCAGCTGCCCGGCTCCAGAATCATCCTCGTGAACAAGCTGGGACAAGTGTGCATGAAAGTGCAGGGGGAGGAAGGCGCCTTGAGCACCCCGGACGGGGAGCAGGCCTCTGGCTGCAAGGCCGTGCCAAGCCCAGCGCCGCCACCTCCTGCGCCCGTGCCCAACCTTGGCACGGTCATATTGCGAGCGCCCCTGGGCCTCACTTCCAGCCCTTTGCCCACGTGGACCATCCGGGGCCCGGTGCTCAGCATGGTGCCCATGATGAACATGGTGGGCGCCGCCCCTCAGGCCGTTGGCGGGGGCCAGCTGGCACTGGGCACTCCAGCTCTGGTGACGCCCTCACTGGGGATCCCACAGACATGTCTGCTTCAGCCAGTGGCTGTGAATTCCGGCGTGCTCAGCATCCCCGGCTTGGTGTCCTTGCCGGGCCCCCGGCCGGCCATCCGGGTCAAGAGGGTCTCCACCTTCGTTGGAAGCATGCCTGTCAAGAAGGCCAAGGTGGAGGGCGCCAATGAAGAGGAGCCGCTGTCCGTGTTGCCCACCGTCACGCCAGATCACTTGGTGAATAACTGCATTTCTGGCAGCACAGCGGGCTCAGGGTAAGTGTAAGCATGTGATCTCCACACTCTTAAGCATGGGAGGGCTAAGGAGAAGAGGTGGTCCTTTGTGGGTTTGTACTTCAGGCCATGCATGGCTTCTCTGGGTTCTTCTGGGTGTTTTGTTTGTGCCCGTGTTCACAAGGACTTCTTCCCCTGCAGCATGGGGAGGGTGCGGATGAAGACCCCCACCGCCAAGGGCGTCCTTGACCTGGATGCGCTCAAAGAGGAGGAGGCAGGCACTGTCGGCGAGCGTGAGCTGTGAGTGTGAGGTTGGAGGCTGCGGGATCCTGTTCCTTGCCTGCCACAGGGTTTTTAAAACAGCCCTTCTTTCTTTCAGGTCTCCGATGGACCATTCGCCCTCCTTCACAGCCTTACATTCCCATCCTGGAACGCCGGAACCAAACCAAGAGGCTCTGCTGGAGCCAGTCTGGCATAGATATGCAGGTACTGGGATCTCTTGCCTGCCCTGCTCTACCTTCGAAATAAGGGTGGTCGGTATACTGAGCTGGGAGGCTGTGGGCTGGCACACAGAACCAGGGATTAAATGTCCACATTTGCTGTATCGGGCAAATTGCTGTGCACATGGTACTAAGAGCCAGGGTGGTGTGGCTTTTGAGTGTGTTGGAGAAGACCAGGGAGACTTGAGTTCAAATCCTCACTCACCCCTGTAACTTGCTGCAAGTCATTCTCTCTCACCCTAACCGACCTCACAAGGTAGTTGTGGAGACTGAGGGTGGGACGAACTTGAAGGAAGAAAACTTGACAGGAAAGAAAAATAATATAATTGCATTAAGCAGCTATGTATCTCTTGTTCATTTGTTTTTAATGGTGTGGGCAGCTGCCCTTTTCAAGTTCCTTTTAGAGATGTGTATCCCTAATCCCTACATTGCACATCAGATTTTATTCACGCCAGGTTTCTCTGGTGTGAAATCCCTCCCCAGCTGTCTGCACCATTGATCAGTATAATAATTTTATTCTCAGTTTTATATTTGTTATGTGGTACGTGGCTCTGGTGCGTTTTATGTTAAGCAGTATATAAATTTGTGCAATAAATGAAAATAAAATAAATGGTGTTCTATATACAGTTGCTTTTTGTAAGCTGCTCTGGGAGACTCTAACAAAGGCGTGGAATATGAATGCTGTAAATCAGTTTCTATACCGAAAGTGGGTTGTATCCAAGCTCTGCTCAATGTAGACCCTTCATAATGAACGGATCTGTCTAGTCATGTACATTAATTTCAATGGGGCTACTCTTAAATGTGACTAAGAATACGGACTGCAATGTTCCAGCCTGCATACCAGAGTTCAGAAAGTGAATCCTGGACCTGACAGGTCTCTGCTTTGTGATCTTGGGTTTTTATTTTAACCCTGCTGTAAGTCTATTCCTTCCTGTGGAATTAAGCCCTTTCTCACAGATGATGACTCCACGACAGCAGAGCTAATACGCCTGGGCCTCCTGCTCTCCCCCCCCCCTTTTCTCCCCTCCCAGGGGATCTCTCCAGCTCAGACGAGGACAATCTGAAGCAGGAGGACAAAGAGAATGAGATGCCCCGCAAAACGCAGCCCCACCTGTGCTTCGAGATCACCAGCGAGGACGGCTTCAATGTGCAGGCTGACAGCATAGATGGTGAGGAGGAGAGAATCGCATAACGTTCCTTTGGACCTCTAGCCTCTCAGCTGGCTGGCTATAGTTGTGCTGCTGATGCTGCTGGAAAGAGGGACACACTCCACAGACAACTGGGGGATTGTTTTTCTCCCGGGTACAAGCAGGAATTGTGTTATGCCTTGCTCAGGGAAGCCATAAGAGACTCAGCAGCACCTTGGACCTCCTTTACCCAGTGATACCCTTCTGATAATTATTTTGCTTTGGGTCAGATGCCTGCCTCTTACAGAGTAAATCACGGTTGCCTTCTCCATGTTTAGGTGCCTGGAAAGCAGTGATTGAGAAGATTCAGGAGGCCCGCACCAATGCCCGGCTCAAGCACCTCTCCTTTGCAGGTAATAATGTCCTGTTTGAAGGCTTCCGATGGGCATCTGACTGGCTGCTGTGGATGTTGGACTAGAAGGGCCTTAGGTTCATAGGTTGTTCTGTTCTGGTTGGAAATTACTTTGCAGCTGCCAGGCTAGCCTACCAGTCTTTTGGCTTTTTCAGTTCAAGGCCCAGAGACAATAGAAAGGGGAACAATCTCTGGGAGCAGAAAACTGCCCAGAATAGCTGCTCCAAAAGAGGGAAGACTATAAGCATAGGAGCAGTACCGAGGTTGTATGTTCCAAATAAATAAGAGAGCAGATGATGTAGAAAAGCAGAAGCGGGAAAAGCACATCAAGAAAGCAAAATGTCGTGATTTTCGTTGGGGAGGAGGTTTCTGGGGCTCTGTTTGGAGGCTTTGGGATAGGACTGGTTCTCTTGTACTGAAAGGGTGACTGGGTGCTGAATCTTAGGTATTATTGACTTTCCTGGCAGGGATGAACGGGGTGCGGCTGTTGGGGATGCACCACGATGCCGTCATCTTTCTGGTGGAACAGCTGTATGGTGCCAAGGCCTGCCACAAATACAAGTTCCGGTACCACCAGCATGAAGGCGAGGAGGAGGAGCTTCCGCTCAACCCTCACGGCTGCGCCCGAGCTGAAGTCTACGTCAGGTGAGAAATGGCCTTGCTTTCTCTCTGGGGAGGAGGAGTGGACTGCAAATTTCTCTACTGCCCTTCATCCGTGGATCACAGGGCAGTTTACAATATACCAGTTGGATCACACACCTCTCTGGATTTTGCAGGGCAGTTGCAGTGTGCAAAATCATATATATTTTACATAAAAGAAGAGTTCAAAATGAATATTTTACAGATGAGTGCATTGAAAAAAGATTGATACAGATGCATTAATTTGTTGTGAACTACCCTGAGATCTATGGGTATAGGGCAGTATACAAATTGAATAAATAATAAAAAAGTAATCAAAATATTTGTTCTTTTAGATAAAATGTGATTTTTTGTGTATTTTTACACGCTGAAAGTACTGCAAAAGTGCATACAAAATGCATACAATTTAAATGCAGACAAATAATAATAATAATATCTGCACAAAACAGGAATGACCTATAATTGAGCACCAGTTGGGGCAGAATTTGGCTGCCCGTACAGTTCCCATGATCCCATGTCATTTGCAGCTGATGGGACTTGTAGTCCAGAAACATATGGTGGGTCACCGATTCACTCCTTATTCCCAAATTGCATCCTTGCCTGGGTTGTATTGCAGCAAAAGGAGTTCTTTCTTGAGTAGGTGGAAATGCAGATAGTGTTCCAGATAGTGTTTAAAAGAGAGAAGAGCAGGGAATCCAGAGGCCTTCTCAGATGGGCAGCCCTCCGCTTCTTTTGCAGGAAATGCACTTTTGATATGTTCAACTTCCTGGCATCGCAACATCGTGTGCTTCCTGAGGGAGGCCCTTATGACGAAGAGGAGGATGAAGTGCAGCTCAAGTCCACCAGGTAAGAAGACGCCTGGCTTCTGCTGTCCTGAAGCTGGTCAATCTTGACTTTGTCCCTTCATATGGTAGGCTGTGAAAACTCAGCATTTGGTAATATGAATCTGATTAGATAATGCCCATGCTGCGTGTACTGCCAGGGAAGCTTTTAAAAACAGATGCTTCTCCTCTTCAGCCTGTGAAGCTCATGAGTTATAAAATTTCCAAGAGGATCATTTTTCTCCAAAGCTAGGGGCCCATGTTTCCTTGCCCAGATCTCATTTCTACTTGATTAAAATGCATTGCTTTCTTGTAGTCAGTTGTCTTTCGGCCCTCTAGCCAGGTTTATGTAATAAAGGTGATTACCTGCTTTCCAGCACCAGCTTTTTTGCTGCCAAGGAAGCCCAGTGAGCCCAGTCCTCTTCTGTGCACCAGAGAGCACACTCAGGAAGGCAGCAAATAGCCCAAATTAGCATTGACCCAAAAAAGAGAGAGCTCACATACCACTTCTGCTCCCTGCAGAGAATATCCTGGCTAGGGCCATAGCTCAATGATAGAGCATCGGTTTTGCATGCAGGTCCCCAGTTCAATCTCAAGGCATCTCCAGCTAGGGCGGGAAGAGACCCTTTTCTGAAATCCTGGAGAGCTGCTGCCAATCAGTGTGAGCAATATTGAGCTAAATAAGATGCATAAGACAGTTTCCTACGTTTCAGGAATTCCTCCCCCCAGAAGGGAAACTTTACTGTCCATTCCCACAATTTGTGCCATGATCTGCTACTGCTGCTGCTGCCGCCACTCAAGTTTCCTTCTCCATCACTTTTTAAACTGTTGTGCTGCACCCTAAACTTCTGATTTTCATCCTTGTGATTCTTGCTGGGAATCTGTCCATCTTGAATCCATTTTTACTGTCAAGGCAGCCACACTCTCTTTTGGCATACGCTTCTAAGTCTAGTCTGGCCTCTGCTTCTTCCTTAGGCGAGCCACCAGCCTGGAGCTACCCATGGCCATGCGGTTTCGGCATCTGAAGAAAACCTCCAAGGAAGCTGTGGGCGTGTACAGGTAACAAGGGCAGCTGCTGCTGCTTGCCTGAATCCTTCCTAAAGAGGCCACTTTGTGCAGAGAAGCAGCCCTGCTCCACGCTCGCCTCCAGGATGAACCTGAAAAAGAACAGAGAGTACCCAGTGGCTGGCCCATCTTTGGCCTGCCTTGTTAATTCTCTTAATGCTGATGTGTACCTTTCTCCCCACTCCAGGTCAGCCATCCATGGCCGGGGCCTGTTCTGCAAGCGGAATATCGATGCAGGCGAGATGGTGATCGAATACTCTGGCATCGTGATCCGCTCGGTGCTGACAGACAAGCGTGAAAAGTACTATGACAGCAAGGTACTGAATCAAGAGAATTTTAGAGTTGGAAGGGACCTTGAGGGTCATCTGGTCCAATCCCCTGCAATGTAGGAATCTTTTGCCCAATGTGGGGCTCAAACCCACGAGATTGTCTCATGCTCTACCAACTGAGCTGATGGTCAAGGGACAGGGGAGCCCGTGATTGAGTTGAGGACAGGGTATAAATCAGGCATAGGCAAACAAGGCCCTCCAGATGTTTTAGGACTACAACTCCCAGCATCCCTAGCTAACAGGACCAGTGGCCAGGAATGGTGGGAGTTGTAGTCCCACAACATCTGGAGGGCCGAGTTTATCTATGCCTGGTATAAACAACAACAATTATTGTTAACAGGACCAGTGGAGGAGGGAGGAGCTGGGCTCCCCAAATCGTCTCACCAATCTGAGCTCTCTTTTTCTCATCCCGGCAGGGCATAGGCTGCTACATGTTCCGCATCGACGACTTTGACGTGGTGGACGCCACGATGCACGGCAACGCCGCCCGCTTCATCAACCACTCCTGCGAGCCCAACTGCTACTCGCGGGTCATCCACGTGGAGGGCCAGAAGCACATCGTCATCTTTGCCCTGCGACGCATCTTCCGGGGCGAAGAGCTCACCTATGACTACAAATTCCCCATTGAGGACGCTGGCAGCAAGCTCCCTTGCAACTGCGGGGCTAAGCGCTGCCGCCGTTTTCTCAACTGAGAGGCATTTTTTTTGACCCGTGACCTGATTCCTCAGCTCTGTACCTTTCTCCCAGCCTGGCGTCAGTGAGGGGGGACACCAAGAGGCATGTCGGGAGCTTAACCCACCTCACTGTAGCTTTCCAAGTGGGTTGCTACAGGACTGACTCATCCCCTTAGTTCCCTGAGGCACGGAGATGGCTCATCTCCCAGGAGCATCAGTGATGCCCGTTTTGTCTGGGAAGAGCGGATGCTCTTGGCAGTGGACCTGTCTGTGGCTTGAAATTATGGCAAGCAGAGATATGGGGCAAGTGTGGGAAGGGTAATCCCCCCTAGTCCCTTATCTGTGCCCGTCTGCTTCGTAGACCTGATTTTCTTTCCCTCTCCCTTGTGGGGTGAGAACAACTTTTTCTTTAATTTTGTACTTCTAACTTTTGTGATTCTCTTTCCTTTCCCGCTAAGGCTTTCTGTTTTAAAGTTAAAAAACAAAACAAAAAAAACATCAAACCCAGGAGGATGTAAATATTTGTACAAATTTCTAAACCTGTTTATTTTCTATGCACTTTTTTATTTAAGATGCTCAGTCAACTCAGACGGTAAAGGGTTGGATTCTTGTTGGTATAATTTTAAATAAAACGCAATTTTGACACAAGACTGTCACATGGCTTCCGTTGTAGCCTGAAGGAGGGGGCGGAGTGTGTTTGCGTGTAAACAACAAAGCCCATCCATCTGGAAACGGAGACAGCAACCATCTAGTGATTTCATATCAAAACTCTTTGATTCCAAAATGCAAAGGCACAGGCTGTCTTACATGTTCCAGAGCTTTACATATGAGCTCCTCAAAAATATAGTGGTCCACCACCCATGTTGGTTATGCGTTTGTACTGCGCACATTAATGGTGGAGCCCACGTGGATCCATATCTAATGGCCTACTCCTTTTCAGAAGAGTGGCGAAGAAAATAAAAATAGAACCATTTATAGAGCCCCTTATGTTATTCGTTTGCTGAGTTCCTGTAGAAAGCACTTTGAACAGTCAGGTGGGGTACCTCCAGCTCATTGGCTACCACCCCATTTGGCCTGAGAGGCTCTTTTGTGCAGGCCACACACGAACACCCAACACCTGACATATCTGACTTCAGGTGTGAGGGCAGGTAAGAGCAGGGTTTCAAATGAAGAACTAGGAGCTTAGAGAAGTCCTTGCAACGTGGACTTCAAAGCGCAGCATCACCTGCCTGGACTGCCAGGGTTGAAGAGGGAAAGATCTGGCCCAGCAGCCAAAAAAGTGCCCTACAGAGATTGGGGTGGGGGATACAAAGGCAGCTTTTCTAGATATCCAGTGTGGGAGAGAGTTAAGTAGTCAAGGAACAGGCCCTGCCAATGTCTGATGCCTGGCGTGGCTGTGGGGTGGGGAATGAGGGTTATGCCCTAAAGAGGTCCCTCATAAGGAACTTAACTGCGAGACTTTAGAAAATGATGTGTTACCTTAACCATACTTTGCTTGTAGTATAATTCATTCTCAAAATTATGATGCACCTTGCATCTAACGTGCATCAATAAGGAGCAGGTGGCAAGTCTATGGGGAAGTGCACTTTACACATGCTCAGGAACATACTTCCTATCTGAAATCTGATTGTGAGGCAGAAGCTGGAGAAAAGGCAATGGGTGTTCAGGTTTCGCCTCCTCTTTGTTGGCAAAAACGTGGCATAGCAAGAAGCAGCTTTGGTCCTGCACAGCGTTTTACCTTTAAAATCACAAAATACAGAAAGGAAGAGCTGCTCATGTCGCTACTTCGCCATCTGGCGGGTTGAGGCGGTAGGGCTTTGTTGTTGTTTAGTCGTGTCCGACTCTTCGTGACCCCATGGACCAGAGCACGCCAGGCACTCCTGTCTTCCACTGCCTCCCACAGCTTGGTCAGACTCAGGTTGGTAGCTTCGAGAACACTGTCCAACCATCTCATCCTCTGTTGTCCCCTTCTCCTTGTGCCCTCCATCTTTCCCAACATCAGGGTCTTTCCAGGGAGCCTTCTCTTATGAGGTGGCCAAAGTATTGGAGCCTCAGCTTCACAATCTGTCCTTCCAGTGAGCACTCAGGGCTGATTTCCTTCATAATGGAGAGGTTTGATCTTCTTGCAGTCCATGGGATTCTCAAGAGTCTCCTCCAGCACCATAATTCAAAAGCATCAGTTCTTCGGCGATCAGCCTTCTTTATGGTCCAGCTCTCACTTCCATACATCACTACTGTGAAAACCATAGCTTTAACTACATGGACCTTTGTTAGCAAGGTTGGTAGGGCTTTTAGGAACTACAACTCCCAGCAATCTCTTGGCCCCGGCTCCCTATTATCCGCCGCAAATAAGTATATCCCAGCATGCGCTGCGACAGGGCGTTGTTTTAAACATAGACTTAAAATGTTAGACCAGCGCGTCGCATCTGAACACTGTGAGTTCGTCTTCGGAGGTCGGAATGCCGCAGCTTGCAAACGGGAAATTTAGGAACTGAGCAGGCTGCTGTCCCTCAAGCAAAAATGAGCAGCAGAGATGAGCGTTCGCGCTCTAATTAACTCAGGTCTTATTGTGTGTAGGCGTTTTTTATATATATTTTTAAAAAGTGAGCCTTAGGGAAAGCGCAATGCATCTGCATGCAGGTCCCTGAAGTTAAAAGTCTTGCTTGCAACGGAGTGCTGGATTCAACAGATCCAGATACAAGGGGATCCCTGATACTGGATTCAGGGGGCTCTGCCTGCTCCACGAGGTCCTTGTCTTTTTATTCATCCCCGGAGGTTTCAGCGTTTGGCACCACCTCAGGGCTAGGAATGGTCCCCCTCCCTCCAATCGCAATTATTTTGGAGAAGGGTTAAAAACTGTGTTTGATTTCCACAAGGGTTTGTGCCTTTCCCTATGCAAGTCAATGGAGAGCTCTCCATTGTATTTCCCCTTTTAAAAATCTATGGGAGAAGCTTACTCCCACCCACCACCAAAGACCTTGGGGAAATAGGAACATTGCAATAGGTGCAACCCGCGGGGCGCTTCTCGTTGACGAAGACTTCGCGCTGGGGTGGGGGGGGAGAATCCAAGCCGTTCCTGGCAAAGCTGTCACGACTTAACACTTCTTGCAAGCGCGCCCCTGCTCTTACCTTCCCACCCACCCACCTACCTACCTACTTGCAAGCTTGGACAATGCAGTCCAACGGCATTCTGCATTATTATTTTTCGGGGGGGGGGCAATAAAAAATCAAAAGGACCCTTGCTCTCTCGAGTGCGGCGGGGGCCAAACGAAAGAGCCAGCGAGGGATACCCGCCACCGACTACTTGTCGCGCTACTCTAGTCGTTTCCTATCTCCACGCTTGGTGAGAGCGCGGACGTTTTCCCAGCAGCCCGCGGGGCGAGCTGGTGACCAGGAACCGCGCAAGTTCCGCGTTGGGGAAGCAGAAGCTGCTCTGCAGGAGGAGGAGGAGGAAGGGGTGAGTCGTTGGGGAGGGAGGGGAGGGGAGGCTCACTCCACAATTTGGGGTGGGGGTGGGGGATGGGCCCTGCCCTCCAAGCCAGAGGAGGCTTTTGGGGGGCTTAACCCCGAGCTCCGCCCTGACTGCGAGGGTCCCTCTCTTCCTCCTAGACCCCAGTCGCACCATGAACCTGGAGCGCGTTTCCAACGAGGAGAAGCTCAACCTCTGTAGGAAGTACTACTTGGGTGAGTGGCTGGTTCCAGCGAGAGGCATCAGTGGTGGTTAGATCTTTATTGACACCCGGCTTTTCCTCCTGACGATCATTGGGGCGGACGGGACGACGACGACACACAATTAAACGTTAATAAAATAGAAGGCACGCGGCTTATTTCTCTCTGCGTCCAGAATAGTATACGCCAGATGTTGGAAAAGAAAGTGAAATCCCCACTATCAATTGATAGAATTTCCATTACTTCCTAATAAGACAGCCGAAATAAGAAATTTGGGTGGAAAAAACCGGATAAAGGGGCGAGTGGGAAAGCTTTGGGGGTTACCTCAAGAAGAAGAAGAGGATACTAAATTTAATGTACAAGTAGGGATGATCACATGAGCAGCCAGTCAACTATAATTAAGGAGTAAAAGGGATGAAAAGAAAGGTGGATGATTAAATGAAGATGCAGCACACCTTGGGTTTATTATGAATGCTGTGGAGTGCTAGGTTGGGAATGTGTGGAGGGAATGTGATGTGCGAAGGGAAAAATGGAAGACGCGCATACACACACACACACACACACAACATATATTAACAGAATGATTCCTTAAAGTGGTGTTGTTGTTTTTTTAAAGCACTATTTCACCCAGTTGCATAGAACTAGTGAATTTCTACTGTGGTAAGAACTGGTCTGTGTACATTTTGGTACCTTACTAGAAATGTTATGTTTTTGCCAACTTGTTTAGTCAGTAAGCAGCTGTTTTTTCAATAGGCAAAATAAACCTTTTTGGAAAAATACAGACCTTTCCCATTTTTGTAGCCCCTTTTAAAATAGGAAAGGTGAAGGCGTCCTCATTCAAAGGAAGTTATGAAGGGGTTTAAAAACACACACACATAAATGAGTCCTTTCTTTCCTTTGTTTCTCCAGGTGGCTTTGCTCTGTTGCCTTTCCTGTGGCTGGTGAACGTTTTCTGGTTTTTCCGAGAGGCCTTTCTGGTGCCGGCGTACACTGAGCAACTACAAATAAAGCGCTGTGAGTTGTGGTGCAAATCCTAGGAAGTGGCAGGGCAGGGCAGGTGTGGGGTCCCTCCACATGTTGCTGAACTACAACTTCCATCAGTTCCAGCAAGTATGACCAGAGACCTCGGCCCAGTATACCTGAAGGAATGTCTCCACATTCCTTCTGGACACTGAGGTCCAGCTCCGAGGGCCTTCTGGCGGTTCCCTCATTGCGAGAAGCAAAGCTCCAGGGATCCAGGCAGAGGGCCTTCTCAGTGGTGGCACCCTCCCTGTGGAACGCCCTCCCATCAGATGTCAAAGAGATAAACAACTACCTGACATTCAGAAGACATCTTAAGGGAAGTTTTTAATGTATGACATATTAGTGTATTTTTGGTCTTTGTGGAAGCCTCCCAGAGTGGCTGGGGAAACCCAGCCAGATGGGTGGAGTACAAATAATAAATTATTATTGTTATTATTATTATTACTTGTGGAAGGCCAAAGATTTCCCACTTCTGCACTAGGAGGAGAGCCCAGGCCACCTATTTGGGCAGTGCCAGACAGTATAAGGATCTATGCTTAAATGGAGGTGACTGTGGTCATGGTTTTCCATCTGTTTCCATCCCAGATGTCCAGCGTTCAGCCATGGGGCTTCTTTTCTGGGTGATCGTGCTCACCACGTGGATCAGCATCTTCCAGGCGCGCCGGGCAGAGTGGGGCGAGCTTGGCGACTACCTCTCCTTCACCATCCCCCTGGGCACTCCATGACCAATCCCTCCTCCCTTGATGTCACCAGCGTGGAGCTTTTAGGGTTGTATTTTTTTCAATGGACTCCCTGGGTGGCATGCTATTCTCCCCTTTTATGGAACCAGAGTGGGATTGTGCCATGGTGAACTCCGGGGAGGCTGCCTCTCCTTGCAGAATCCTCTGTTCAGTATGCCCTGATCACAACCTGGGGCAGAGGTGATTAATAAACCTGGGGTTGCCTACATCTGCTTGCCCACAGTGTGGTGTTATCGGGAAGAAGTGAGAAGGAGGATAAGACCATTAGAAGAACCTGCCAGATCAGGCCAGCGGCCCATCTAGTCTCTCTTAGGCATTAGCACCAATGGCAGTCCTTGCCTGCAATTTTAAACATCTGTCCTCAGCTGCATAAAGCAGGGGTACAGTAGAAGGGCAAAATGAATTATTTCTCCGTGGACATTTGGGCTTTTTAAAAAAATATACATATCTAAACATATAGCAAAATAAAAAACTTCCTTCCAGTAGGACCTTAGAGACCAACTAAGTTTGTTATTGATATTAGCTTTCGTGTGCATGTACACTTCTTCAGATACCTCTTTAGTTACCTACCTGTAACTAAACATATAGCAGGATATTCTTAGACTCAAGTGGTTGTCTGTCAGGGATTTATTCTTCCCAGAAAAAACTTCACTTTTCTGCCTCTTGTGCAATACTAACTATTTCCCACTAGAAGACACCCTTCTGTGTGTGTGTGTGTGTGTGTGTGTGTGTGTGTTTGCTTTCTAAGTAAAATTACTGTGTTTAATTCAAAATTTCTGACTTGGCAAGTCTATCTAGTTAGATGATAATATACTATGGGTCTTTCCCCCTACCTCAGACAAATCTCTCCAGCACACCCTTGTATAACTAGGGACATCCCTTCGGTCGTAGTGGGGGCTGGTAGGTGTGACCCAAGTCAAATCACAATGTATCTCCTCCTGCCCCACTTCCATTTAGCAGTGGTGGCCTCCCCCCCCCCATTTTTTTACATGGGTGCTGCTTTAGCAGTACCTCCTCCCTCCCTGCCTTGTCCCAGGAAAAAATCGGGCTGAGAACCTGGCCAGGTTGAGAAGAAGCAGTGGGGCTGGGGCTGCCAGTGCCGGGCAGGGGCCCTCCAAGCATGGAACACAGGGCAGTCATCATTCTTCGCCTTCCCCAGGGACCGCCCTGTTTCCAGACTCTTCAGTTCCCATCATTCCTGTTGTTTGCCATGCTGGCTAGGCCAATGGAAACTGAAACCTTATCAATGTCTGGAGGGTCACATGTTCTTCATCCCTGTTATAAAGCATCACGCACCTAGGCAATCCAACCGTTTGATTCAAACCCAAAAGAGATGGAGGCTTTACGAGGTAGGTGTCACACTTTCTAAAGCCTGCTGCTCCCACGTTACATCTTCCTGTGTATTCAGAAATATAAGAAAAGCAGCCAGAAAATTGCCAGAGAATCATCTTGGAAAAGATGGTGGTGACCAGGGTCGCACACAGTATTTCCATGCAGGGGATCGCTGATAGATCTATATCAGGTGTTTTTTAAAAAAACCTGTGTTCCTGTGTGCTCTCCATTATGTGTGACTTAACTGTGCTACTTCTTGCATTAGGAACGCGGGAGGCGCTGTGGTCTAAACAACAGCCTCTTGGGCTTGCCGATCAGAAGGTTGGCAGTTCAAATTGGCGTGACAAGCTCCTGTTGCTCTGTTCCAGCTTCTGCCAACCTAGCAGTACGAAAGCATACCAACACAAGTAGATAAATAGGTACTGCTGTGGCAGGAAGGTAAATGGCGTTTGCATGCGCCCTGGCTTCTGTCATGGTGTTCCTTTGCACCAGAAGCAGTTTAGTCATGCTGGCCACATGACCTGGAAAGCTGTCTGTGGACAAATGCCACCTCCCTCGGCCTGAAAGTGAGGTGAGCGCTGCAACCCCACAGTTGCCTTTGACTGGACTTAACCATCCAGGGGTCCTTTATCTTACCCTTCTTGCATTGTTGTAGTCCAGCAACATTGGGAGGGCCATAGCTCCCCCATTCCTGTTAAGCTCTGTTGATTTCCATGAAAACTAAAGGTGTGTATATGTGTGTGTTTACTACAATGATGGGGTTTTTACATATATACATATTTAGATTTCTTGATGGGCCTAGTTCTGCTCTCCTTTGCAATTGTTGCTGAACAGCAACATGTTTAAAAAGTAAAGGGACCCCTGACCATTAGGTCCAGTCGTGGCCGACTCTGGGGTTGCGGCGCTCATCTCGCTTTATTGGCCGAGGGAGCCGGCGTACAGCTTCCGGGTCATGTGGCCAGCATGACTAAGCCGCTTCTGGCGAACCAGAGCAGCGCATGGAAATGCTGTTTACCTTCCCACCAGAGCGGTACCTATTTATCTACTTGCACTTTGACGTGCTTTCGAACTGCTAGGTTGGCAGGAGCTGGGACTGAGCAACAGGAGCTCACCCCGTCGTGGGGATTCGAACCGCCGACCTTCAGATCAGCAAGTCCTGGGCTCGGTGGTTTAACCCACAGCACCACCAGCATCCCAGCAACATGTTTACTTGGAAGTAAATGCTATTGCGTTCAATGGGGCTTACTCCCCGAGTAAAAATGTGTATAACTGGATGGGCAACTGGATGAACTCCACCTTCCATCAGTCCTAGCCAGCATGCAGCAAAGGGAGATGTAGCCCAACAGCACATAACGTGCCACAGTTTCTCCCTCCCTGCTTTTTTAGGATGGTGACTTCAAGGGCCTCGTTCTTCCTTTAATGAGCAGCCCCCAACTGCCGCAGTTTAAGCCTGTGCCATGTTCCCCCAGTGCAATATACGGTAGACACTGGAATAGATCAAGGTCTCCTGGCACGGAAGAAAAGTTGCAAAGAGAGAAAAAGCTTCACTTGGAATCTGCATTCTGAGTTGCTGTTTTCAAGGGACAGGCATGGGGCGATGAAAGGAGGAGGAAAGTTGGCTGCTGTCCTAGGAGAGCCTTTCTCCTACACCTCCGTCAGCTGATTGGGATGTAGGATGGTGTGATAAACAGTGGAGGAAACAATGAGCCCAATGTTTCCCTGAGCCGCTGCAGCTTGCTCTGCAATTTAAATTGTGTCATTCCAGCAGGCCGGTTACAGTCTAGTGTCTCAGAAAGGGATGGGGGATCCTCCCTGCTGGTTAGGCAGCAGTGCCCTGCGCAGGCTGGGTGGGGAAGGGGGCGTGAGCTGAAGGGCGGTGATGTCAGCGGAGCAATGAAGTAGCCTACAGCAGGTGTTGGCCTGCCTTGCATGAGGTCACTATCTGGCCTTTTCCATTGTGCTAAGCGGAAAGGGGAGGCACAGGCTTCCTTCCAGCCATGAACTCATTGCAGGTGTCCCCAACCTTTTTTGGGGGGCGGGACATTTAAAAATCTGAGCGGAAACTTGTGGGCATCACAAAAGAACCATTTCTCAAAAGGAAAATAGGCGAAATTTTGTACCCGCTGCCTCACATCAAGGACAACACAGACATGAAAAGCAGGCGACTTTCCCCAGCAAAACAAAACTAAAAAGCCCCTCCAACCTCAATTTTACAAGCCAAGGAGAGAAAAGAAGGTTATGGGATGCCAACAGAGATTTCAGAAGGCCCGTATGTACAACGTTGGGGACCTAAAGCTCACTGAATGTTAATTACAAGCAGTCTCCCAGAATGGTTTCTGCCTTGTTATTTTTTTAAGTACTTGTTTTTCTAGGTGGAGATAAACCTCTGGAAGCAATTATGCAGAAGCTCTGGAGGACACATGGTTGTGCCTAGGACAGGCGTGGGGAACCTCTGTCCCTCCAGAGGTTGCTGAACTGCAGCTCCCATCGTCCATGGCTGCTGTCCGTGCTGCCTGGGGTTGATGGGAGTCGTAGGTCAGCAATATCTGGAGGGCCAAAAGTTTGATTTTGTTGGTTTCTGATATTTCTATACCACCTGACGACAAAAGTCCTATGGGCAGACAAGTTAAAACCTTAAAATGTAAAATGCAATAGGAAATGAAAATCTAACAGAATAAAATCAGCAATAGAGAATGGCATCCAGTACAAGAAGAAGAAGAGTTTGATTTTGATATCCCGCTTTATCACTACCCGAAGGAGTCTCAAAGCGGCTAACATTCTCCTTTCCCTTCCTCCCCCACAACAAACACTCTGTGAGGTGAGTGAGGCTGAGAGACTTCAAAGAAGTGTGACTAGCCCAAGGTCACCCAGCAGCTGCATGTGGAGGAGCGGAGACGCGAACCCGGTTCCCCAGATTACGAGACTACCGCTCTTAACCACTACACCACACTGGCTCACCAACAAAAATAAAAAGCAGTAAAAATATATATATTTACGACTGAAAATACTTTCACCTAGGCAGACCTCTCTGGGGGTGCCAACACTAGTAGCCAATCTCATTTGTTTCCTTTTGTCCTGCATTCATACGTGACACAACTGGCAGCAGAGTTCACAAAAGTTCCTCAGACCTGATCTAGGAGCAAGAAAGTCTGTGAAGAGCAGCAGTTGAGCCAAGTGATTTGTGAGCTAGGAGGCCCAGCTGTTGGAACAAGTCTTTCATCCTCTCCCTGCAATGCTAGGGTTGGGCTCTGAGGTGCTACAGATGTTGCCACTTTTCATTTCTGTTTCCATGACTAGTGAACATCGGCGGGCGAAGCTTTTCCAGGTATTCGAGATGAAGTGATTGTGTTAAAAAATAAGAAGTATTCTAGATATTACCTGTCAAATGTCATTTGGCTGATAAGGCCATTGGGGTGGAACCAGGCTAAGTTATCTGAACAAGTCCCATTGAAAATCCAACCCATTGACTACAAAATATAAACCAGCAACAAGCTGCAGTATGGCCATCTTGTTTGCTTCTTTCTCTTCTTTCCATTTTTTTTTTTGTTCTTATCATTGCTACTCTTTTTATTTTTCTTGGTTCCACCTGCTTTGTTATCTCTGGAGCTGCTGACACAAATATACCAACTATCAGGTGTAGCTAATGCACACCCACTGAGGCTGCACATCGCCCTCTTCCAGAGAAGTTTGTTGTTAAAAGTGGAGCGGAGATGCCACTCAAGGTGGGTGCAAATGAATGGAGGTATCTCGTCTGACCTGAAGTGGCAGCCTCTCTAGCGTTTCACCTCCTTTGCCTTCTTCACCTGATTGCCGGAGCTCCTCGCCCCGTCTCCCTTTTTCCATTCCTTCCTTGAAACCTGCTCAGAGTTGCTTTGGTGTTGGAGGCTGTACATGCACAAAAGCACATTTCGCTTTGGATTTAATTTACCTCCCTTTGACAAACCAATAGCTAATTCAGACTGAAACCAGCGCTTCACAGACAAATCTGTATTTCTAAAATGGGAGGGATGGAGCAAACATTCTGTTCTTGAATCTGTATGTGAAACAGTAATGTACCACTTGGCCATGAAGTTTGTGTCCCAGGTATTTGAACCCTGGTCTCCCGGGTCCTAGACCCATCAGATGTGGGATGGAAGTAGGGGGAGTTTGTCTA